TCCAACTCAGTCTTGTGTTCTACAATGATCCTGGCAGCTGGTCAAACTGCCTCCTCAGCTAGAACATGTCCTGTGCTGGGAAATTCTCAGTACTTTTAGGTAGGACTGACACACAGCACAAAGTTCTTCACACAGAGCTGAAATCTGTCTTTATGTGTATGACTCTCTTAACCACGACTTCTACCTGTCCATAATAAGTTACTTCCTCTTCCAAATGGATCCCCACATTCTCAAGCATCAAGCATGAATGGAGGACCTACTGTGGACCAGGCACGGAAGGTGTTATTGTGTCCCCCGTAGGTCCCTTGTTTACATCCTTTAAACCTTCATTGTTCTTCTCGGGATGACCTCCAGACTTGTTAAGATATAGAACCTTCTCCCTTGTTCTAAGTTCTCACAGGCCACTTCTTTAAGAAGATGTATTTATTTGGACATACAGAGAAAATAGTTACGTCTTAAGGAATGTAATCTAGTTTTAATATTTAAAATAATTGTTCTAACACTAATTAACATAACTAGTAAGGTGAACCTATTGTCATGTATCATACAAAGGACTTCAGCTGCATGTCAATGATTACCAGAGTAATTATTGGTCTAGATTATTAATTTAAATGGGCATGATATGCATACACCCTTTTCCTATTTCCAAAAGATAATCTTAGGATAATGAGTAATATTGTTATCTACACCACCCTTGATACTTCTGGAGAGTTCCTGAATGAGCCAGAGTCAACAATACAAACTCTATTCATTGGATGCTGCAATCATTCTTTCCAATGAGGAAACTGAAGCTAGAAGAGATGTGAACTTTGCACCAGGTCATACAGCAGGTAGATGGGAGAGCCAGGCATCAAATCAGGTCTTCTGCTCTAAGGAAGTACGACAAATGGCAGAGTTATTGTTTGTCAGCCCTACTGGTGTGACTTGCATGTCTTAGTAGTAACACATCAGTGAGTGTAGATGTGGGCACATCTAGAGATGGCCCCTTCTCCATAATTTCAATAGTTCCAAATCCACCTGAAATCTGATTCTTTCTATGAATAATTTCCCTGAACTATTTTTTTTTTTCAGAATTAAGTCCCTGACACCCTCTATACATACTGATTGATTCAATTCGTGAGCCCTGGCCCACCAGGTAAGATCAGATGCTCTGTGAGTTCTTCAGTAGGGTGGAGGCAGGCATGAGGAGAAGGTAAAAGGTGATGTGCCATCAGTGTTCCCATGAGCCCCTCTGGGGCATCTGCAGAGCTGCTCCTAATGCCAGGCTCGGGACACCCAGACCTCCTCTTTCTGTCTGTCTCTCCGGGAGGGAACTGTACCTCTCTTTCCTATCTACTGCTTCCCATGAGGACTCCAAAGACAAGTGACACCATTTGTCATTGATTGATGCCATGCATCTCTCCAGCAGGAGCTGGGCACATGGAAACTGCCAAGCACCACTGTAGCTAGAACTCCTGCTACCTGTCTGGCCTCAGGGCCAAGTCTGAACCCCGCAAGGCTGCCTCCTGCCTCACTTTAACCTTCACCCCTCCCGCTCTCCCTCTCCCACTCGTAGAGATCCCTGCCCATCAATTTCCTTCGCAGCGATTCTTATCCTTCCTCAATCGAATGTCCATTGGTCTCTCTCGGTGCATTGGAGAATCTTACATTCAATGAACTAGGAAATGCCGCCTTATCCTTACATTGTTTCTGTGTCTTACTCACATCTTGGGATGTGGCCGAGCAACCAACTTCCTGTCCTTGGCAATCAGGGAAGACGGTTTAGAATACAAGAAAGGTCTGGTCATAGGGACACAGCAGTCCATTTTTTTGAGCTCTGGCCAAGCCAATGTGCTTTATTACATTTACTACAGCAGTGTTTTGAAAACTTTGTCACTCATTAGAATTACCAGGAGAGCTTGTTCAAACACGGATTGTTGGACTTCATCACCAGCATTTCTGATTCTGTAGGTGGTGGGGTGGGGCAAGGATTTGCATTTCTAAGTTCCCAGGAGATACAGAAGCTGCTATCCCAGGGACCCACTGTGAGAACTGAAGCCCAGAGTGGCTTCAATGCACTGGATTGAACTGGTTTGGGGGAGAAAAGTTAACACTACCAATTTTTTAGTTTCTTGCTTTTTAAGGCAGGTCTCAGTGGGAAGAAACCCAACATCAGATATTCCATTTATCTGTACAAATCCATATGGATGGCAATTATTGTGTCAATGGTCAAATCAACAGAGAATGCCATGAATTGATTAAAAGTATTGCCCTGGCGGATTTGGCTCAGCGGTTAGAGCATTGGGTTGAGGACCAGAGAGTCCAGGGTTCGGTTCCCGCTAAGAGCATGTACCTCGGCTGCAGTTTGTCCCCAGCCCGAGTTGGGGTTGTGTGGGTGGCAACCACTTGATGTGTCTCTCTCACATCGATGTTTCTCTCTCTCTCTCTTTGTCCCTCTCTCCCTCCCGCTCTATCTGAAGATAGATGCAAAAATGTCCTCTGGTGAGGATTAAAAAGAAAATGTATTATGCAACTTTTAGGAAGGTTTCTACAATAGCCCTGTGAGGAAGTCATAATAAGTCAGCCACAGACTGGGATGGGTGCTTGGCACTTGGGTAACATAGGAGTTTGGGTTTGTTTTTTTTTTAATTTTTTTTTTATCCTCACCCGAGGACATTTTTCCATTTTTTGCTCAGGTAGAGTGGGAGGGAGAGAGAGGAACAGAGAGAGAGAGAGAAACATCGATGTGAAAGGGACACATCGAGTGGCTGCCACCCTCACAACCGACCAGGGCCGGGGACAAACTGCAACAGAGGTTCGTGCCCTTAGCGGGAACCGAACCCGGGTCTCTCCAGACAGCAGGCCAACACTCTAACCACTGAACCAAACTGGCCAGGGCTGATTTTTTTTTTTTTTCTGGTTCAGGATCCAAGCTCTCTCTCTTTAGTGTCCTTTAATCGGGAGTCGTTTTTCAGTCTATCATTTCTTTCTTGACCGTAACAGTTAATTTAAACAATTTCTTCTATTTGGGAGGCTCTGGTGCGTCCTCATGATTCTAGGCAGGTAATGAGCTGTGGGCAGGACGTCCAGGGAACTGCTGTGTCCCTTCCAGGGCATCGTGACAGGTGGTACAGATGTAGTGTGTCCCAGTGCTGGTGATGTCAAATTTGATCCCGTGGTTAAATGGTGTCTGCCCTATTTCTGCACCTTAAAGTCACTATTTTTCCAAAGGCCTAATTTTCAATGGCACGCACTTAAATAATACGAGTGAACAAAATCTACTCGAGACTCCCTCGTTTCTGTTGGTGAACGCTTTGCCTCGCTGTACCCCAACCTTTTCCAGAGTCCTAATGATGAGGAGGAAGTTTGAGCTGGAAGGTAGCTTACATTTCACCTGGTTCCGTTTCCCTAATGTGGATGCTGCCGCGCGGGATCAGATGACTCCGTGTGTTGCCCATTAATAGCCAAGGCTTTCCCATTTCCATCCTCTCTGCAACCATCCGAGTGTGTGTATGTCACTGAGTCAGCTCTGACTCCTGGTGACCCTATGAATGAGTGATGTCCACAGTGTCCTGTCCTCAACCGCCCTGCTCAGCTCCGTGGACTCATGCAGATGGTTTCTTTTACGGAGTCAACTCAGCTCACGCTTTGTCTTCCTCTTCTCCTGCTGTCTTCTGTTTACGCCAGCATTCGTGTCTCGTCCAAAGAACCAGTCTTCTCGAGATGTGCTCAGAGCAGGACAGCTTCAGAGCCTTTGGACTCCGTGAAGTCGGCTCAGTGGGGTGCCAGCCTGTCTTGAAGATTTCATAGGGTTGCTACTTTTTTTTTTTTTTTTAAGAAGAAAGGGAAGGCCTTTGTTTCACAGTATATGGCAGGTCATAGTCTAGAGTAATTGGCTAACATTTGAAAAAGTCCTATTTATTCTTAATTGCTTGCTGCTCTGCATTGGAAATTAACACGAAAATTTAGTATAGAGCATTAGCAACAATTTTCATCTGCATTTTAAAGTGGGAAGTAAAACAAGTGAGTCAATTCGGAGAAGTAAGAACTTGAAGAAAACTCTGTAGATAGGGAGATAGGGCTGTGGTAGAGATATGGCAGGAACTGCTTCAGTCTGGGGAACCCCAATTTAGGAAGTGGGAGGCCAAATTCCTTAAAGGAAATCGAGTCTGCCTAGCCAACTCCTGTCAACAGCCTTCCTGATGAAAACTCCAGGGGCAGGCGGGGGCCCATGCTGGCAAGGAGTAGAACAGGCCAGAGACGGCCTGGAGAGCCTTAAACCCGGGGTTGAGGGTGCAGACGTCGGCCACAGGGTCCCCGCACACCACCTTCCCGTCCTCCACCACTAGACCCGGGGTAATTCTCCACCGTTTCTCATTCTTGACATGGGATGGTAATAAATGCTGCATAATTCACACCTTTCTTACGACTCTGTGATTATAGGAGTGTAACGTGCTTGGCACAGTGTCTGGCAACGGGTCAACAGATGTAGGCTGTCACATCGAGGTCATTGTTCTGTAGCGGGGACAGGGCCTGAGGAGGAGCCAGGACTGGAAAGTGGCGGAGGGATTACCCTCCCTCTCGGTTTCTCAGAACCCAAGGCGAGCGGGTGCGCAGCCCAGGCGGTGACCCAGGCCAGCGGTCCCTGCCTGCGCACCTGCCCTTATGAGGTCCCCCTTCCTAAGGACAGGAGGGGACCTGGTCCCAGGCACCCAGAGATGCAGATTCAGGCGGTGGCAACGTGGGCGGGAGCGCTGTCCAGGCGCCGCACTGTGGAGCCCCGCCCGCCCCGGGAACCCCGAGGCAGATGCGGGTGATGGCGGGGGCCGGTTGCGCTCCCCTCCTGCGTCTCACCCGCCGGGACTCACTTTCTGCCCCGGGTCACCCGCAACCCAAGCGGCGCCCGGCGAGCCTGAGCTCCAAGCTCCCCACCCCGGAGCCCTCCAGGCGCCCGCGCATGCGCCCCGGCGTTCCGCAGCTGTTTGGACGTTTCCATGGCTACGAATCCAATCCGTGTGGGGTCCGGGAGCGAGAAAATGAAGCTCAAGAGCCTCCTGCTCCGTTATTACCCGCCAGGTACCGGGCGGACCCCTCCGGCCTGGCGCGGGACCTGGACCCCGGCCCTGGGCGGTGGGCGGTGGGAGAGGGTGCGGGACGCGGGCGCGGTCCCTGGGGGACAGGAGCCGCCGCTCTCCGACGTCGCTCCTCGCTCTTCAGACGCAGGCTTCTGTGGCTCAGAACTTTCACAGCGACTTTCGGGGAGTCTACACTTTTAGATCGCCGAGTTAGGCTTTCTGGTTCGTAGGGATGGGGCCCGTGCAGAGCAGAGCGGGTGGTGGGGGAGTCCTGGGCTGCCGGTCTCCGCAAGGGGGGGCACCAGGGCCACCTGGTTTCCGTCCAACACGCCAGCATGGTAAGGTCAGGTGCGCCAGCGTGAAAAGAAAAATGCCCGCTCAGCCTGGCATCCCGTTAGTGACTGTTTTGCAGACTGCGAGCATCAGTCGGGCCGCGCGAGCATTGAGGGCCTGTGTCCTGGGTGCTTGGTGCTCCCCGCCTTGGGCCTCAGAGCAGGTTTCAGGCCCGGATTCTAGTAAGTTAAGGAAATGACGAAATTAGCCCCTAGAATGCTATACTGTTGATAAACTTGCCTAGTTCTCTTGTCTCATAGAGGTCACGGTCACCTCTTCAGAATATTGGAAATCCACTAGCCACCCAGCTTGTTAGGGACAGGAATAGGAGCAGAGCTCTAGGCTTCTAATGCAGAACTCACTTGAAGAAAAATGTAAAGTAAAAAGTCTGAGAAACTTGCCATGAGTCTGTCGATGACCCCCCATGCTTGCCCAATGTAAAGGTCAGGTCGGCGGCCGGTGTGCACCTGGGCAGCAACTCTCTCCAGCTCAAGTTAACATTTGTAGTGAGGACATCCACTTTCTCCTTCCCAGGCTCCCAATTAAAATACCATGAAAAGACCCCCAGGGAGAGAGGCAGTAGATGGGCAATTGTGTTCTCTTTAAGCATTCCACAACCTGGGTGCTTGCCCAGTCTGGGGCTGGCTCCCATAAATAGAATGATAAATGAATGCCTTGCTTCTCATTCCTCTGCTGTGACGTGTAGGTCAAGAATGTGAGCCCTGGGATCAGCTACTCTCACCATGTAAAAATTTAGCTACTTGGACAATTTGTTTCGATGTGTGGAGCTGTCAGTCAAATGGTGTTAATGGCTCCAGTGTCTCAGGTCTGCTGACCCTTTCCAGCTACTCTCCCATTTATCTCCCTCCTTTCAGAGTAAAAGTCCTTGAAAGAAAGTTGTTTCCAATTTCTCTTCTCCCTTCTGTCTTGAGCCCGCTCCTGTCATGTTTGCACCCCCACTGTGCCACTGAAACGGCTCTTTCCAAGGTTCCCCGTGACCCCCAGCATGGCTGAATCCCCGGGCATCTTGGTCTTTGCCTTTTTTGACCTGCATGCAGCCTCTGACCCATTTGCTCATGCTGCCTTCCTGCGGCTTCCAGAACACTCTGTTGTCTCCTGCCTCATTGTCACTCGTTCTCTGTCCATCTTGTTGACTCTTTTTCCCCCTAATCTTTATGTTGGAGTGTCCCAGAGCTTGGTCCTTGAACTTCTCTATCTGTATGCATTGGCTAGGTGATCTCATCTAGTCTCAAGGCTTGAAAACCACTCTGAGACATCCGGAGTATCTAACTGCCGGCCCGATTCTTCATTCGGATGTCCTAGGGTGCATCCTCCACGGACCTCCTGTGTCTTCCTCACCTGAGTCAACGGCAGCTCCCTTTCTCCACTGTGGTTCATGCCAAACCCTTGGCCTCATCCTTTTCTCCTCTCTTGCTCACTCCACATTTGGTCCATTAACAAGCCCTGCCAGCTCACCTTCAAAATACACACAGGCATTCACCGCTTCATCATGGGATACGTTCCGAGCCCATTTCACTGTTGTGCAAACATCACAGAGTGCACTTACACAACCTGGGTGGTCCCGCCTAGTGCACACCTAGGCTATGTGGTCTAGCCTGTTGCTCCTAGGCCACAGCATCTTACTGTACAAAACACCCCAAGTTTAAATCAAGCACAAGAGAAAATGATGCAATCAAGAGATGCGGTAAACACAGGCGTATGAGGCTGCTGCTGGCATAATACAGCTTACTGTTTTACAGCAAACATTTTACATAAGTAGAAAGAGTACATTCTAAAATCACGATAAAAGTATAGTCAGTACATGAACCAGTCGTCTATTATCATTATCAAGTATTCTGTACTGTACACACTTGCACATACTACACTTTTGCATGACTGGCAGCCAATAGGTTTGTTTGCTCCGGCATCATCACAAACACGCGAGCAATGTGTGGCCCTAAGGTGTTACAATGGCTGTGACGTCACTGGGCACTGGGCATTTTTCAGCTCCATTACAGTGTTATGGGACCACCGTGGTGTACATGGTCTGTTGTTGACTGGAACATTGTCCTGTGGTACCTGACTGGACAGAATGGAGCCGCTTCTCTCCACCACAATGACTGACATTCCCTTCATTGCTAGAGTTTCTACCCTTGCTCCACGTTAGTGTATTTTCAACACAGGAGCAGGCTGACTGTTAGAACCTGACTCCAATCATGTCACTCTTTGGCCTCATTGCCCGACTTTGCCTCCCTGACTTAACCCTGGTTCCTGATCCAGGGACACACGTTTCCTAGGCATTCTTTGGGTGGATTGGTTGTGCCCCGATTCAGGGTTTCTGTAGTTGCTGTTATGTTATTTACTTGTTTAGCCTGGAGTCAGCTTCCCCTGGGCATCTGCATAGCCAGCCCTCTCATGTTTTTCTAAAATTTATTAGCTCTTTCCTCCAAAGCCAGTAGTTAGTAAAGTGAGACCTCCCTTTCTAAAATTTCCAACGTCTCAAGATATTTCATAGCCCATTCCCTGCTTTAACTTTTCTTAGCATTATTGCAATTCAGCATCATTTTACTTATTGATCTTAGTCTCCCCAACTAGAATGGAAGCTTCACAAGGGCAGGCACTTTGTCTGTTTCATCTGCACCCATATCTCTAGCACCTGGAATAGAGCACAGTGCATAAATAGGCGCTTACATCTCTGTTGAACAAATGAATGAGTTCAGTGAGATGATGCGTGTTAAGTAGCATGCTTAGAATTCTGCTTGAACTGCGAACGGGTTGAGTAGGCGATCTCCCAGGTCGGCTCCAGCTCTAGAAGTCCAGGGTTCCAACAGCAATCTTAGATTCAAGTGAGGCTTTAGACTCCTACTTGTAATTCTTGCCTTCATAATCTTCTAGTGAGGGCATATCACTAGCATGCTAGACACTTCATTACTGAATTCCAGTCTTTGGTGAGCCATGTATTGTATACAAATTTCTGCGGTACAGCTGAATAGCAGGTGGGTAGTACAATGCCATTATCAATCAGGGAAAAATCACTCACCACTGAATCATCACCATGCTATCTTTATCCCATGGGTCTATAAAGCAATTTTGTTTCACCTCCAAGTCCTCTCATTTCAGTCATTCCACTTTCCTTGGAATAGTGTATAAATCAGGAGCATTATCTTGTTGGCATCCATTGGATGATCCTTCTCCCTACTTAAATTCCTGATGACTAAAGCCACAGAGCAACAACATTACTAATCAAACATGGGACATTTTCTTTTTATCTTGATCACATTTATTGACTGATAAACACTTTGCTTCTTGAAGAGCAGGTGTTGAATGCATGCTTTCCAGCTGACTCAGTTATGCCAGCCTTTGTCTTTTATTTATCATGTACCAGTCCCCATTTTTATGGCCAGGAGATGGAGTCAAATAAACATTCATTAAAATGATGAATATTCTGAGCACTTTAAAGGTTTCTGATGTGTGAATATGATCTGGGTAAGGAACACTCACATCTTTTGAAGCTTAGCCTTTAATACATTGCAGAATTTGGAGGGCAGTGGCTCCTTACCTAAGTGTTTTGGGAATCACGCCAATGGAATGATGATTCACAACCAAGGGAAGTCAGGAATATTCAGATACCATAGGGAACAATCACTGAAAACTACATGCATTCAGGAGCATCTTTGTCTATTTTCTGATCATATTCTTTGCTGCACAGCCTCTAGCTCATTTTGGAGCTCAGTGACCATGGAAGGGAGACTGTGCTCCTTGATGCTTGTCACAGTGAAACAGTCAATACACGTTTTAGATTTTGCACTTCATTTCTTGAGACTCATAACTCAACTAACTTTCAGTGGTCAACCTAAAGACTTTTAACATTTTTTTTCATTTTATTAGATAGTTGTGAATAAAGAAAGTGAAATTGTATACATTTGTTCACTATATTTTAAAGATTTATTTCCTGCAGATGTTAGATTATGCTGTGTTACCTGTCGAGTGCTAATTCTTTCAACCTTTTCCTGAGTTACAGGTTATGACTATGTTACTTATTCATTGTTTATATCATGTGTTTACTCAGTGGTTTACTGAATGCCCACTTTTCTCAATAATACATAGTAAATATTAAGTACTTATATAGACTGCAAGGCACTTAAATTCACGAGTCCTGGATAATGATGCTTTAAATTGACAGAAACTTTGCACCTGTCGAGGTGCTGGCTCTTGGGTTTTCCATTAAGTTAATGGGCCTCTTGCTCTTGAAGAGTTCATATTCCAATAATGTCGATTGCTATCATTTTTCTTTTTCTTTATGGTCTTATTCTTCTCCTACTTATTTTTATATAAAAGTAATATTAACTTATATCCAAAATTTTAAAGATACATAAAAGGATGGTTAAGCTCACCCTTAACCCACTGACTGTGTAATAGTCTCTTGGAAGGAGTCACCTATCATGTCCACCAACACGTATTTCTTCAACCTTGCTAATATTGAGTGTTATCAGTCGTTGTAATGTTTGCTCATCTGATAGGCAAAATTATATCTTTTTTAAAAAAATACGTTTTTATTGATTTTTTTAGAGAGAGAGGAAGGGAGAGAGAGAGAGAAACATCGATGTGAGAGAGAAACATTGATTGACTGCCTCCTGCACGCCTCCTACCGGGGAGCGAGCCTGCAGCCCAGACATGAGCCCTGACCTGGAATTGAACCAGGACCTCTCAGTCCATGGGACAACCCTCAATCCACTGAGCCACATTGGCTGGGCCAAAATTATATCTTTTATTTTATAATTTTGTATTTCTTTATGAAGTTGGGGACATTTTATTTTGGTCTGTTTAATGGTCATTGTCTTTCTTTGTTTGCAAATGGAATGTTCATGCCTTTTGTCCATTTTATAAATAATTAAAATTATTTTAGATTTTTCTATTAAATTCTTTAGGCTTTGTATTTATAGTTAAAATTATTTTGCTGATTGTCACTGTTTTTAACTTTGTGGCATCCTTTACTATGTAGAAGCTCAAAATTTATTTAGAAAAATTTATCAATTTTTTTCTTTTTTAGCTGTTGAGTTTCATATCAATCTTAAAAAGCCAATTAAAAACACTAAGATAAAAATATATTTTATTATTTAGACCATATTATATTTTATTTTAATGTTAAAATTTCTAATCAGCCTAGAATGTATTTTGTACATCATGTGGTAGAATTATAGTTTTATTAATTTTTTTCAAAATTCAGACAATTATTAAATCATTATTTATTGAATAATCCATTATTTCCACATTAATTTAAAATATTACCTTCACTTTATTTATTTAAGAAAGTATTTTTTTTAATTGATTTTAGAGAGAGAGGAAGGGAGAGGGAGAAAGAGAGACAAACATTGATGAGAGAGAACATCGACTGGCCACCTCCTGCAGGCCCCTCACTGGGGATCAGGCCCACAACCTGGACATGTGCCCTGACTGGGAATCAAACCAGTGACCTCTTGGTGCATGGGTCGATGCTCAACCACTGAGCCACACCAGCTGGGCCCTTCACTTTATTTTTAAAATAAAGGGACTTCTCAGGTAAAGGTGATTTTATTCCACTGATCTAATTTTGTATCAGAACCACACTCTATTGTCATATAGTTTGTTATAATAATTGGTACATTTTCACATTTCAGAATATAAAATCATTACTTTAACTCCATAGATTAACTTGACATGTGTTATGTCAGATTATGCTCTCTCTAGCGGTGATTCTCAAATTGCAAGGGCCCTTGAACCTCTTCAAAGTGGGACCTCAAGGTCAAATCTTTTTCATAATAATGATAAGGTATCACTTGTTTCCCCCCTGTATTGACATGTGCACTAACGGTGCGGAAGAGTGGAAGGTGGTACTGCTGCTACCTTACTACAGATCAAGGCGGTGGCCACCAACTCTAACCCCGGGCCTCGTGTCCCTCAGTGGCACGCGCTTGTTTTGGCTCCAATGGCAGTTCGGTTTTCTGAGGCCTGCAGTGCCATCCTGGTCTGCTTTGTGTTCTGGGGCTGCTGAGGCTTCTTCCTGCTCAGGTCTTGCCGGCGCCACCTCCAGGGGCAGAAGGTGTATCCCAATATGCCTGTTCTCACTGGGTGACCTTCTGGGGGGAGGGGATGAAACGCTGGGCCTGGGTATGCCACTGCTCGAAGGGCAGAGCTACAGTGCTTTGGTACCTGGTTGTAGAGTGGCATCTGGGACATCCTAGGACCTCAGGGCTGCCCCTTTCGGAAGTGGATGAAACTGCCCACCAATGGCCTGGACGTGAAGTGGGTCTGGAAGACCCTCCGTGGCAGACTAGATAGCTCTCTGGCCCAGCAGCGGAGCACGTGTTGAGAAAGTCCAGGACTCTGTTGCTGGGTCTGCTGACCGGGGAGCTGCGTGGCCAGCTTTCCAGTGGGAACTGGGGCAGCACAGGGCTTTCCCTGCTGCATGGACTCCTGCAGGGCCCCCCACCCTGTGGAGCAGGGTTTCGGGCTCCCCCTAAGTTCTTTGTGTGACTTCCCTTCTCTTGAACTTTTGGCCATAACAAGCAAGCTTTGTTGTTGCGGTTGTGGTTTTGTTTTTGTTGATCTTTTTTTTTCTATGCCTTTTGGTGGCTCCAGGCTACAAGTCCCTTGGGTCCCCAGTTTGGGGGTAGAAGAAGATAAAAAGAAAACCCAGGAAATTCATGACATTGTCATCCGTCAAGCCTGGAGGCTCCTGGCCAGTCCACTTTCTTCTGCACACCTCTCCATTACCTTCTCTTTGCCTGATGCGCGATTTCAAGGGTGTTTAGTTGTACTTAGAACCAGGGAGAAGTGAGTTCACATGACCTCGTTTTAGAGTTAGACATCACTACAGATGTTTTGAAAATTTCAAGAAACTGAACAATGAAAATGAAACAAATTGTCAAAGTAGATTAGCTTTTGACATCAGTTGCCATCATACATATCTTATGACATGTTTGTTTATTTTATCAGGAATTATGTTGGAATATGAGAAGAGTGGAGAACTGAAGACCAAATCCATCGATTTGCTCGATCTCCATCCCAGGTAAGCTAGGTATACAACGTAACACGTGCTTCGTACCCAGTTTTCTGTTGGAACAGCCTGGCACAGGGTGATGTATCGGAGGAGCTGCGCACACCAGACAATACATTGCTTTAACAATGTTCTGTGGTGTTTGAGTTCCTTTTTGCTTCAGTGAGTTCTACTTGAGTGCCTTGTTGAATGAGGAGGTGGAAAATGGATCATTAGTCTGCCTTTTTATTTCCTAAATAAACCTTTCAAAAATAAACCTTTTTGTAGTTTAGAACAGTTTTTGAAAAGTGAGGAAAAAAATTCCCACATAACCCACACTCAGTATCCCCTATAATTATCATCTTAGATGAGTGTGGTACTTTGGTCATAGTTAATGAACCAGTGCTGATACAATATTATTAACTAAAGACTGTATTTTACTCAATTTTTCTTGGTTTTTGTCTAAATCTTCTTCTCTCTTCCCAGATCTCCTCCAGGGTCCCACATGACATTTTGTTGTCTGTGAGGGTTCTCAGACTTGCTTTATTTATTTATTTATTTTTATCCTCACCCGAGGACATTTTTTGTTCAGATAGAGTGGGAGGGAGAGAGAGGAAGAGAGAGAGAGAGAAACATCGACGTGAAGGGATACATTGAGTGGCTGCCACCCGCACGACCAACCAGGGCCAGGGACAAACTGCAACCGAGGTACGTGCCCTTAGCGGGAACCGAACCCGGGTCTCTCTGTACTGCAGGCCGACGCTCTAACCGCTGGGCCAAACCGGCCAGGGCTAGACTTGCTTTATTTTTGATGACCTGGACATTTTTGAGAACTACTGGTCATTAAATTTTAAGACTATTACTGAGCCTATTATTTTCTTGGTAGATAAAACATCTCATAGGGCTGACTGCACAGGATCTTCTTTATTAATTACCACAGGGCCAGTGGAGAGATCAGATTTTTGTCTTTGAGATTTGTGTGCCCAGAGGAAAACCCCATGAGATCACATTGCTCAGAATTCATTCCCTTTGGGAAATCTTATGCAAAGCGTCACTTGAAGAGGCAGAATCAGCACAGTAAAGATACCCGCGGGAGCTCGCATTCAGATTAGATGAAGATATTCTAAATGGGAGAGAAAAAATAGAACAAAGATACTGTAATATGAGTTCTAGAGTAATGGCCGGAGAAAGGAGTGATTTTCCATTGTCACTATCCAGAGCCCGTTGGCAACGGGACTTCTCACGTAGCCCAAGTTACACAGGAGACAGCCTGCTCTCTAGGTCAGGACACACCCAGCCGGCTGCGGACAGGTGCCCGCCTGGCCGTGCTGGAGGTGGAGTCCAAGTCTTCTTCCAGGTGCCTGGCACAGAGAAGCTATTTTTTTTTTTTTTAATTAAAGAGTGAACATTATTTGCTTTCCAGGTAGATTACCCAGATGTTTTTTTTTTTTTTTTTTGGTAGTGCCCCTAGCGGGAACTGAACCTGGGACTCTCTGGTCCGCAGGCTGACGCTCCAACTGCTGAGCCAAACCTGCCAGGGTCAGAGTGAACATTATTGTCTGACGAAGATAATGTCACCAAATCTTATCTACATCAATCCCTATTCAACCTATTTTCAGGGAAGACAAGGCCTCAGATCAAATCAAGCCTTTTTGCTGCTTTAGTAAAGGGAACGTCTTACTGCTGCGTGTGAGGGTGTCAGTGGGCAGAGAGTTCTGTGGCCAGACATTCATTTCTTCAGTCAGTAATGATGCATTGGCACCTTCTCCATGTCAAGTTCTAGGTTAGAGTCTACGAGAGGCTGTAACGATACTAATCACAACTCCCACCTCAACAGGCTTATTGTCTACTTTGAGGAACAAAGAATATGAAACAGATTAACACACGTGAGTGGTGCAGACAGACTTCTGCATGAGAGAGTAACTTCCAGGTGGAGATTCAGAACAAGGCAGATTTCTGTTTAAAGAGTGTAGATCTTTATTTAGTATGCCATAGTCATCTGATAGAGTCAATTAATGTCTCACAGTTTTTTTGTTTTCAGAAGTGGATGGGTCTTATATCTAGTTCTGCCCAAGAATCTGGAAGTATTCTGCACACAAAAACAGTTGCCTTATATATGACACACTGGAAAATGGCAATTAGAACAGGACCGAAGGGTTGGGATGCAGCGATTAACTTTCTGGTTCATTTAGATCTTGCTGGGAAATCTGTATGGATTCATAACATTTGTTGGAAACTTTCCCAAAAGGCATTACGTTTTTAATTCTTATGAAAGTATAATTTTTTTCGATAACCGTCTGTCTTGGAATTTATCAAAGGCATCATTATAAACCGTCTGTGGTTTATTTCCGTTCCGAATACTCACTCCTATCGTGATGGAGCGTGTTTCTTGAGAGCTGGGACTGTATCTTTTACGCCCCCAGCAACTAACCCACCGTGGGTACGCAGTTCATGTTAATGGGATGAGTAGTCTCCCAGCTCAGTGCCTTGCACACGGCTGGAGCTCGGGAGATGTGTTTTTACAGGGAAGGAGGATGCTCATCAGAGGTAGGTGGGCGGAAGGTTACTGGGCAGTGACACCCGGGACAGACCAGGGGCTGAATCAGGGTGGGGCAGAAGGAGCCATGGAATACGATGGTGCAGATTTGACAACAGCCTCCGGCAGCCCAAAGGGGAGCTCCTGAGTAAAGATTGCTGGTCAGAGGGGTTTCTCAGGCGCCCCAAATGGCCAGGCTCTTGCTCTGTCCCTTTGCTCAGCCACGGGCTGAGGGCCACTGAGAAGAGCAAGCCCTGAGCTCACATATGAGGTGGGTCCCGAAGCAGCTGTTGCTGGAGGCTGCCCACGGACTCATCACCCTCTTTGCAGCCGGGCCACAGGCCTTCTGGAGGGATGGGCGCGGACAGCGCATCTTTGACTCGTGGTTTGCAAAACTGCCCCATTGCGGATGCTTTGCGGTTTAGAGTCATTCCTGTTCATATCATATTATATTATTTGTCTTGATCAAATATTATTCTGGCCCAGCAAAATGTACCAGAATTGTTAAAGATTGTTTGAATACTGGGGAAAACCACGGATCTGCCCTTTCCAGACCAGCTCTCTTCCTGGGAAGTCATCTTCTAGCCAAAAAGAAACAATAACAATCATTGCTATTCTTTGAGTGCTTCTTTTTGGTAAGGTATTTTCTTTCCCTAAAAAATATGTAAAACCTAACCTTGCTGAGCCTCAGTTTTTTGTTTTTTGATCACAAAAACAGTTATGATGAGAGTAGTAAATTAGAGGGTCGTTATAGGATTAAATTAAACGAGAGAACATATGGAAAGTGAAAAGTATAGTATCCCAGGAACATTCAATATATGTTCATTTAAAAGACAGAGAAGCAGCAGGTGTTCAGAGCCTTGGTCTTCTAGAAGTAAACAAGTCAGAATCTTTGCACCCCGACCTCGGGAGGTCTCGGGAAGTGCACGGGTTCTGGAGAACCCAAGCGACTTCCGTCCCTGCCCAATGCTCTCTGTTGATTTGCACGACCCCCCTTCCCCCTGAAATCTCTTGGTGAAGATGATGGTGTTCTTGACATTTTATAAATGCAACTCTTCGTAAAATGATGCCACTCTTCCATGAATGTCTCTGCGACTTTCTGCATGGGAAAAGTGACTTTCCTTTTGTGAATTTTAGTACCGATGTCAATGCCTTAGTAGAAGAGATACAGAGAGCAGAACCTCTAATCACAGCTTCACGGTCAGACCAAGTGAAGCTTTTAATACGGAGGTTACAAGAAAAACTCGGACAGCACAGCAATCACAAATTCTCTCTTTTCAAGGTAAGATGTGGTTTAGAAACGCAAGAGGGAGGGCTTCGGCGCTCGCTGATGTCCTGTTGGTTCGGGGCGAAATGCACATCTCGTCTTTTCTTCCACTCAGCGCCTCCCATGCGTTTGTGAACACTAAGTCACAGCGGTGTTTGCTGAATGCATGAAATTCAAACGTTTATTTCTTGAGGTTTAATAAAGATTTGTAGTAAATATAGCTGTTTTTTTACACTGACAAATTTAAAGAATAACCACTAAGGCAACATTAAGTTATTGAATAATTAAAATTATTTTTCCCATTAGAGTAATAGTATGGTCTGTTTCATGATACATTGATATTTCAGACATTCATGTGACCCAAACGATACTTCAGTAATTTATTTATAAATATAACTTATACAAAAATTTTACGCAACACAAATATGATTATTTTTCTATAATTTTGATTACTAACTTAAAAATATAACAAATGTGGTCATTTATTATTTCAGAAACAGCTCTTATTTTTTATGAACAATATTTAATAGTTTTTCTAGAATTGCTTCATATTACATTGATTTCATTTTGTAAAATTAAATATAATTATAGTAAAATATAATTATTATTGACACACTCAGCATATTCTATCTGATACAAAATATTAAGGCAATCTTGGTAGTCATCCAATCAATTTACTGAAAGATGAGGTTATGCTTATAATATTTCTTTGTCCAGCAGGTGGCACTGCTTAACTTTAAATATGAGCCCTATAACTAGCACAACCTTGTTACTTACCCTTCAAAGGGAACATTTTTGATAATGAAAGAAAACACTATTAATAGTTATTACAATCCAGTAAAAGACATAACTGAGTCTGTCTCAGCCTAGTCTATCACTCTTGTCCATAAGCAGAATAATTTATGTATGTTTATCTAATAAATATTAAGCATCTACTATGTGTTAGATTACGTAGGGATTGAAGGATAAAAAAAATAAGACATATCCTGATTCTAAAAGAGCTTTAGGATTCAAAATGTGATAATACATTATAAACATATTTAATGTATTTCCCTTTATACACTGTTCCTATATACATACAAAACCATGTCTCCTACATTAAAGAAAATATTATAAATTAGTGCTATTTGATATCTTATTTAATAGCAATAATTGATCTTAAGGGCAAATTGATGGACAACACAGATTCTATTATGTTTTTGTAATTGCTCATAACTACCTAATGTATTATCGGTCACAATAATAGAAGGTACAATATATTTTTTCTCATTTGTCCATATATTGGATGTTGTCCCTTTTGTTATATATAATTAACACAAACTTGAATAATTTATTGGTTTGAAATAAAAATTAATTAAACTTAATTTTATTTGAGTTTAAAAAAATGGCATTTTCTTTCATTACAGGTCCTCAGAGCACATATACTACCATTGACTAATGTAGCACTTAATAAGTCGGGCTCTTGGTAAGGCTCTGTGTTCATTGTTGAAAAAAATAATTGTGTTAGTCTTCATTTTAGGGCAGTTTTAGGTTCACAGCTCTACGGAGCCAAAGGTAAAGGGGTTTCTCACACATCCCCTGTCCACACCCACACACAGCACCCCCCCATCGACATCCCCCAAAGGGCCGGACATTTGTGTCCACTGATGAGCCTACACTGACACGTCGTTATCCCTCCAAGTTCACAGTTTTCATGAGGGTTCGCTCTCGACTTTGTGCATTCTCTGGGCCGACAGACATGTAATGACAGGTATCCGCTGCTACTGCTCGAGACTCCTCTGTGCTCTGCCTATTTCTACTTCTATTTTTTATGTATCTATAGATTTCTATTATTTATAATTTTTAACATTCAAGGGGTGAAACTTTTTAAGTAAAAACTGTGTATATTTAAGGTGTATAACATAATGATTTGATGATATACCTGTAGTGAAGTAATTACTGCAGTCAAGCTACTTAGCGTATCATCTCATAGTTAACCTTTTGTGGGTGTGAAGAAAGCACCTGAAATTTATTCTTTTAGCGTATTTCCCGTAATCAAAAAATAGTATTATTAACATCATGGCTGTATGGTTAGATATCTAGACTTATCTTACACAATTGCCACTTTGTAACCTTGGACCAACACCTCATTTCTCCCACTCTTCAGCCACTGGTAAGTCCCAGTCCACTCTCTGCTCCCATGAGTTTAACTTCTTTTTAAGATTCCATGTACAATGAGATCATACAGTATTTATCCGTCCCTGTCTGACTTCCCTCACTTAGCATAATGTCGTCCAGGTTCATTTATGTTGCCACAGTCGGCAGATTTCCTTCTCCCTCATGGTGGAATAATATTCCATTGTATACATCACATTTTCTTTATCCCTTCATCCCTTGACCGACACTTACATTGTTTCCATATGTGAGCTGTTGTGAATTAGCTGCAGTGAACACGGGAGTGCAGATATCTCTATGCGATCCTGGTTGCATTTCCTTTGGCTTCGTAACCCGCCCCACGTAGAACTGCTGGATCACATGGAAGTCCTAGTTTTTATTTTTTGGGGGAACCCCCATACCGTCTTCCATACTGACTGTACCAACTTTCATTCCTGGAGAAGCTAAGAAGAGAGTACCTAGCGGAGAATCAAAGATGCCCTGCTTTGTCAACCTTCCTGTCTGGTTGGGTTTAGCTATCAATCTGCTTTCATCTTTTATTATTACCCCTTGACGTTCAGACTCACTTTTCAATTTTCTGCATTTTTTCCCCTGTGTTGGGGAAATATTATCCCTAATGGACCATGTAAAAAATAATGAAGATGCTATTATTTTACTTTAAATGATTAGAGGTCAATATACTACCTATTCCTGTACTAGAATAATCATGTTAAACATTGTTAAATATTAAACAAATATTTATTGAACATTTGAACGTGTGCCGTCCTGCTCCGGTGCTGGGGATGATGGAGGTGAGCCAGGTGGGCAGAGGACAGGCAGGTGTAAACCAAGCAATGCGGGTCTTAGAGAAGGTGACTCACGGGCTGCGCTTCCGGCCGTGGAGGGCCAGGGCCGCTGGCCTCTTGCGCAAGAGCAGAAGGTAGACCCTTCCTCTCATTGCTAGAAAGCCATTTGAGGAAGGTTAAAAAACAACTCCGAATTTGGCGAGGAAAGTCAATTCGTAAGGATCATTTATGAGGCAAGCCCCATTAGACGGTGGTTTTCTTTGTTTAGGTAAGAGATGGAGGCGATGGAATTGGCGAGAGTGACCAGAGCGGGATGTTTTCAGGGGTTGGGGCGGAGAATTTGCTAACAGATTGTGTGACGTGAGGAGAGGAAGACGGGGACCAAAGACGATGCGAAGATTCTGTGGTCTGACCACCTGGAGGAACGATGCTATCCATTGAGATATAGTAGAGTTTCCAAAAGTGTGAATACAATTATTTTTATTGTAAGGCTGATTATTGGCAAGATCACTGTTTATTTTATTTAGTGACTCCTTTTTAGTTTTGGAATATAATTGGAAAGTTGCTCAGGCAAAGGATTTAGATATTGCTCCCACCTAACTGTTCTACAAACACAATTTCCATTATAAAAAGCATGATAAATGGGGTTACGATCTTGTGGGTAAAAAATGGCATCTTATTAACACACTGCAATCCTCACCTTGTGATTAATGGATATTCCTGCGTTAGCTTTATCACAGGCAGCTACGACCGGACCTGCAAAGTCTGGAACACTGCGTCCGGGGAGGAGCTTCTCACCCTGGACGGCCACAGGAACGTGGTTTACGCCATAGCATTCAACAATCCTTACGGGTAAAAACACATTCTCTCACTCACTTATTCCCTGTTAATCCATTCATTCATTTATTCATCCCCTCCTCCATCTAGCTGGGGGAAGAAGGGAGGAAGACAGAGAATGAATATCTACGGTGTGCCTGATGTATGCTTTGCAAGCCTTTTAAATGCTACTTCCAGTGCTTAAAGGAGTTTGGGGACTGGTATTACTGTCCTCAGCAAAGTATGCTAACTCCAATCCCCTTCCCAGGACCACACAGGGGCAAAGAGGAGAGCAAGGAGGGCTGACTGCCCTTGGGAGTTCCTGCTGGTGCCTGTAGCCCTGGCTGGTGCTCCTGGAGAACGTGACATCCACATTGGCAAACCGGTTTACTTCGTTCAGAAGTTCATTTACAGTCTTTCCAGGTAGACAGGCATGTGTATAATGACATGCTAAGTAACAGGAGCAAGTACAAAAGGAGCGTTTTAAAAGCAATCTGTAGTTCATGGAGCCAACAGACCAGCACCCTTCTCCCTTCACCTTTCTGCAGGACCTACTACTGACGCCCACGGATCTCTGAAGGCTTGTAGCGACCGGGCTGGCCACCGGCCGGCCCCCCTTCTGTGCCCGCTGCTGAGGTTCTAGGCTTACCAGGAGTTGGTTGTAGTTACCCGTGCATCTTCTTGTATCGGTTGTGCTTTCGGTTGTAATTATGTGATTTAATTACATGTTGCTCATGACTAATGAAATATAAATGCGAACATGCAGTTGTTGTTTTCTATGAAAACACAGAGGAGGCAGATGTTTGAAAAACCTTACTAAGTGAAGTTGTCGATGATGAGATCATTGTAAACACTGGAGAACACACTGCAAAATGTGAAACAATTCTGTACTCAGACTTTGCAAGTATTTTTAAGTTTAGGCTCTCATTCCACTTGAAAGAGAAAGAGGGGAATTGGAGAGGCTGGACATGGTGTTTCCAAGGCAGACAATGAACGGGACGACGGGCTGAGCCGTGGTCAGAGAAAAGGCCCTGGCCTCTGGTCAAAAGACTGGCAAACCGAACGTGTATTTGTACATATTTGGGTAAAAATTGAAATGTGTGTATGTATATTTTATCATGATTGCTTCCTTTAACTGACCTTTCCATTACCAAGCTGCGGTTCTTTATTATAGTATTCTGATGACTAGAACAAACACCGTTAATGGTTTAAAACTAAGACCATTATTATATATTTTATTATTTTTTTCCCCTTTTATTGATTTTAGAGAGAGAAGAAGGGAGAGAGGGGGAGAGAGAAACACCAATGAGAGAGAATATCGACTGGCCGCCTCCTGCATGCCCCCCACTGGAGATCGGGCCCACAACCTGGGCACGTGTCCTGACCGGGAATCAAACTGGCCACCTCCTGGTGCAGGGTCGACACTCACACTGAGCCACACTGGCCAGACGAGAAGATCGTTATTATTCCTCCCAGGTAGAGTCTTTGAGGACGATATGAGGTTAAAGCAGAAACGTGAAAGATGGGAGCTGGAAGGTCGGTGAGGACACCTGGGCGAAGGGACTAGGCAGCTCAGGTGCGCCGTGGCCAGCTCTGCAGTGCACGTTCCCTGATGAGAAGGGGGGGAGGGGGTCAGACCGCGCCGTGCAGCTTGAACTCCGTTCTGGAGGACTGAGCACTACGAACGGTGTGTGAACAAGGGACGGGGACACGGTGGGAGTGCCCTCTCAGGAGGATACGGGGACACTGCAGTTTCAGGGGGTATGGGGACACGGTGGGAATGCCCTCTCAGGAGGATACGGGGACACTGCAGTTTCAGGGGATATGGGGACACGGTGGGAGTGCCCTCTCAGGAGGACACGGGGACACTGCAGTTTCAGGGGGATATGGGGACAAGGTGGGAGTGCCCTCTCAGGAGGACACGGGGACACTGCAGTTTCAGGGGGTATGGGGACACGGTGGGAATGCCCTCTCAGGAGGATACGGGGACACTGCAGTTTCAGGGGGTATGGGGACACGGTGGGAGTGCCCTCTCAGGAGGATACGGGGACACTGCAGTTTCAGGGGGTATGGGGACACGGTGGGAGTGCCCTCTCAGGAGGATACGGGGACACTGCAGTTTCAGGGGGTATGGGGACACGGTGGGAGTGCCCTCTCAGGAGGATACGGGGACACTGCAGTTTCAGGGGATATGGGGACATGGTGGGAGTGCCCTCTCAGGAGGATGGCTCTGGCAGGAAGAAGCAATCCGAGGCTTTGGGGTGCAAAGAAATGGGGAGAAACAGGAGGCGAATTAGGAACAGATAACAGTCACGAGATGATGGAAACGTCTAGGATAGTGGCAGAGGCGATAAAAGGTAATTTATAAAGGATTGCTGCACAGTAACTATTTTATACCACAAATATTAAAAACATGGTATCTAGGCAGCTGATGTCATATCTTTGAAAAGTGTAATACAGTTTCTCAACATGTTAACTATGATGGCACAATTAGACCTCATTGGTACGTTAAAATGATTAAACATTCCAGTTAAACTGCAGAACACTTCACTTTGATGTATGCATTGTTACATTGTAGAAAGTGACACTTTTCATCATATCTTATTCCACCCGCTCTTGGGAGAGAAAGATTTTATTAAAATGATACATGAGACTGTTTCACTTCCAGTATAATTCTTAGTTTGAATTGAAATATTATTTAAAGGCTTTTGAAAGTATGTTTTCGACAATACCATATCCTTTAGTAGTCTACCTGACATGGCATTTTGGGCTGTCTCGCTGAGAACCAAGTGTCTGAGGCTAGAGAGAGGAGAAGCACTCTTCGCTCGTCGGCTCTCCTGTTGGTTCTGCAAGTGTCCTTGGTGAGAAACACACTTGTCTAATTCCTGGTTGTCCAAGTGTGGCCATTTCTGTATGTGCTTTCCAGTGCACTTTGGGACATTAGGGTTCCAGCAAAATGAGTTGAAGGCAGTTGCCAAAGAACAAGAGGGAGTGTGTGTGCGTGTGTGTGTGTGTGTGTGTGTGTGTGTGATGAATTCAACTAGCTGAGTGTTTATCTGTTTTATATTTTAGTCAGGAGTAAGCTTTGATACAATAAAGTAATTCTAAAACACATTGGAATTATTAATATCTTTTATAATGCGGCATTATGTAGATGTAGAGAACGTGATAGATCAGAAATTGATCAAGAAACGACAGCAACGGGACGGATATGTTTGAGGCACAGGACACATGAAAATGGTTGGGGGTGTTGATAAAGAACTCACAGGACGTTCAGGGTATCTCGAGCAGGATTTGAGAGGCACAGGACACATGGAAAATGGTTGGGGGTGCTGATAAAGAACTCACAGGACGTTCAGGGTATCTCGAGCAGGATTTGAGAGACCGCTGCTGGTGGCACATGTCTTAGACTGGAGGCCACAGGAAAGAGCCAGTGCAGGGACTCTGGCACAGAACCAGCCTGTGTGCCAGGACGTTTGTTGGGAGGTGGTGTGTCTTACCCCCAGGACAGCTGTCCCTGCAGCATCACAGAAAGGGCCTTGCTTTCCTGGAGTATCAGAGACCACAGAGGTGCTATGTGGGTGGACTGGGAACAAAGGAGAGAAGCCATAGAAATTCTGCAACTGTGCTGAGCACTTAGGTTTGCCTTGGGATGCGTATCTTAGATCTTAAGAGCCCTCACACTTTTTAACTCAGCTGGGCGAACACTTCGATGAGCTCCTGTAAAGGACAGATGGGATGAGGGGTAAATGGGGAGGTGTAAGTTCCACAATCAAAGGTTAAACAGGCTCATCTATTCTTACCTGTTGGGTGTTGACAGTAGTGTGCTCCACAGCGAAGACGGGACTGAAGCTGATCACATCTCCTTTCTAAACCCTCTTTCTTGTTCAAAGTCCTTACAACTGGAACAATATAGGCATATTATTTTTCCTAGGAGATGTTCACTATCTAACTTCTTAAAGCCTTATCTAGACATACTGTTAATTGGATTTATGTTATCTTTGTTTTGTTTTTTAAATTCAGTCTATCCTTTTTAGGAGACCTACTCGCAGAATTTTTCTATGTTTATACAACTTATTATACATTATTAATTTTCATTTGTAAATAATATTATAAACGAAAACTTTTACCATATTTATTGTACTAATTAAAAAGCATTTTAAATCCTAAGCATATGCCTCTAATCTAATGTATTTAAAATTAAGCACATAAACGAATGCCATTAAAAAAGTAGACCTTTATTTTGTTACCCAGGAGACACATACAAGGTTGTTTCTTGTTTTAAAAGTGCAGTGAGTTTCTGAGCAGATAGAGATCCATGTATTTATATCTTAATTCAGTGTGTCACATACTGTGGTTGAATTGGATTTCAAAATCCGCATTTTTTTTTTCTTTTTACCTTAGTGACAAAATTGCCACTGGGTCCTTCGATAAGACTTGTAAACTGTGGAACGCAGAAACGGGGGCGTGTTACCACACCTTCAGGGGCCACACAGCAGAGATAGTGAGTACATTTTTACTTTGTTATTTTTTTATATTGCTGTTGTTTTGTTTTGTTTTATGTCCATCCTTTTCTTTTGATAAACTTCATTTTTTAGAGCAGTTTAGGTTCATAGCAAAACAGAGGAAGGTGGAGAGACTTCTCAAAGTGCCCCATCTGCTTCCCACCCCCCACCTCTGCCCCATTAGTAACAGCCTACACAAGAGCGGCTCATGTCTTACAAATGATAAATCTGCACGGATACATATTATTATTTCTTTTTAATATTCCATTATAAAAGTAGTGGTTCTAGCTTTATAATTAACTTTTAAATTCTATCCAGTATTTTCATTCTCTATATATTTTACATGGTGGTGTTGATATAATTTACAGAATCCTCTCATTTTAACATCTTGCAGATACCTGCATTGACGAAGTAGACACATAATATAAGAAGCCTATGAGTACAACAGCCAAACTGATGTTTTTTCTTTCTCGTTCATATTTCTTTAAAGGACAGACTTGATGGGGGCTGATGAAGTTCGTATAATAGCTTTTAAAGTAACTTTGTATATCATGTAAAATATTTAGGCTGATTGTTTTCTCCATAGCATTAGAACTCAAATTTGCATAAATAGTCTGATACTCGAAATAGCTCTCTCTGTTGGGAAGCCCTTGCCCTTGGCCAATTCTGTGATACATCTTATAGCAATTAGTAAGCTAATTGGCACCCCGTGGAACAAGTGATAGCTTTTTAAAAATAAGCAGGGTGCTTATTTTAGGAGTAAAGTGTATTTATACTTATTCTTAAAATTCATGGTCTATTTATACAACAGGAGCTCATACAATGTTCAAGATACTTTGTTAGACACCAAGGATATTGTAGTGAAAAATTATAACTGACTCCTTAATGGCATTCCGCGTGCTCGAAGCATGGTCCTAAGCCCTTCACACACGTGTATATTAGCTTAGCTGTGCCTCAAACCAACCCTAAGAGGGAGGCATTTTCCCATTTCTAAGTTGAGCTGAGGCACAGAGAGTTTGAGTACCTTGCCCAAGGTCCCAAGAAAGATACTCTTTATTATCGGCATGTGGCCATGTGTCCACAGTCCCTTGGAATTTTGCTTTATAAATGGTTTCTAGGAAGATATTTGGGGTCAACATCCACTCAATGCACATCTACTAAGAACTGACGGCGTGTGGACTCTGGCACGTGTGCTTGGCGTACCAACTAGAATCAGACCTCGCTCTTGCCCTCCAGGGATTTCTCAGTGATGGAGAAGGAGTAGGGGCTTCAGTGAGTAAGTTCAAAGTTGGTGGGGAGCTCAGTGAGGGCACAGAAGGGAGCGGTCCAGTCTCCTTGGCCAGGGCAGGTGCTCAGGAAGGATGGCAGAGAAGTGGCAGCTGTGTCCCAGGCAGAGGAGCCACACGGGCACCATGTGCCATGCTGGCGCGGGCTGGAGAGCTCAGGGGCTCTGCGTGGCACGGCGTTCTTGCCAAACCTCTCTGCGAAGCCAGGCGCAGAACCTGCTGACATGGATCTGCAGCACACTGGGAAGAGCTGCCTGCTGCGCAGTCAGAGGTCACTGGGCAAGGATCACAGGGTGTGTGACTGAAGTGGGAGAGGCCATGTTGTGGACACACAGAGGGCCTCCTATGCTATGGCAGGGGATTTGGACTTTACCCTGTAGATATTGCTGAGCTGTTGAGACTTCTCAGCTGGAAGATGACATGGTCCCTTTTGGTCTTTGGGAAGATCATTCTTCTGGCGGAATGAAGGGAGGTGGGTAAAGTCAGAGGCAGGGGTCAGAGGGACCCTTGTTGCAGGCCAAGCAACAATGACGAAAGCTTGTCATGAGGCAGGTGAGTGGAATGTGAGAGAGATTGGGGTCGGGAGGAGTAGGACCAGGTTACCAAGTCGATATGAGGCATGGAAGAAAAATGGGGTTCCAGGATGAATCCCTGATTTCAGGCTTGGATGACTGGCAGTGCCGTCCGCCAATTCTGTACATCAAAGAGGAGGAACAGGCTTGCTTCATATGACCTGAGTGTCTCAGATTGATCAATCCTGCCTGTGTGATATCCAAACATAGGCACCCACTGGGCAGTTGGCTCGTTGGGCTGAGCATGGAGGTCTGGAAGCGAGACATGGGTGTGTGAGTCACTGGCATCTGGGTGGCAGTAGAAACCAATGAACAATTGAAATTTCCCAAAGGGAAAGGTGGAGTATGGGGAAAAGATGGAATCTTGGGAGGATGGAGAAGAGAAACCATCAAGCGATATGAAGGAAGAGATAAGAAGTAAGAGAAGGAGAGCAGAGTGCTAGGAAAGCCTTCAAGAAGGAAGAAAAACACGGAGAATCTCGGGGAGGTTAAGTGGAATACGGACCCCACCGCTCGGATTGGACATCTAGCCAGAACGGTTAAGCAGCGTTGAAGAGTGGAAGACGGGCGGACACTGAGTGACCGTAGACTATCTTTTCTAGGAAATTAGTTTAAAGGGAAAAGAAGGTAGTTAAGGGCTACATACAAGGGAGGATTTATTTTTTGTGTGGGAAGAACTCAGACCAATTTGGCCACAGGGAGGGATCTAGTCTAGAGGAAAGGAAGGTTGATGGTGTCTCTCCCAGTGGTGCTGGGAAGAAAGCGATGTTTAAATTGGGCAAAGGGATCCCTCTTGATCTGAGACCGGAGAAAAGGAAAGTGAGGACATTTCCACTTGTTGGTGAGTTTTCTCAGGGAAGTAAGTGGAAGGCAGGTTATCAGCTAAGGAGGGTGAGCACCGGAGTGGGGGGGGCCGGCAAGAGCGAGGAGTGGGGAATATATTGAGCTAGAGGCACGTTCAACAAAGTAGGGTCAGGGCCGAGGACACGGCTGAGGACAGGAGGAACCAATGAGCAACACCAGCGACCTGCGACGCTGTTTTCTTAAGCTGCTTTTGCGGAGAGATGAGGTAGGGAGGGCGAGTGAGTGGATAACAGTGTAGCTTGATACACGTCGCTACAAGTTTTGTGGACGGTGCAGTCGAAAGCGGAACTACGTGTGTTAAGGAGGCTGGCGGAGGAGATGCTTCCAGTGTTCGCTGAATGGCAGATGGTGGGCCAGGAAGAGGGGAAGGGTCTGAGTGAGATGGCAGGTACCCTGGCTGGGGGAGGGGTGCGGAAAGGAAGAGCGAAAGCGGCAGTATTGAGAGATTGTCCCTAGAGACTGGTGTGTCGGTGGTGAATCTTCTAGAGAAGGCGATGTCAGGGTCTAGGGTGTGGGAGTGATTATGAGGAGGAGTCCAGGATGAGCGTGTGCAGGTGTTGGAGGGATGGCCCATGCAGAGCCTCCTAGGCCTTGACACAGGCTGAGCAGAGGGTCAGAGCCCTTGGTGAGTGAAGGGATGTGGTTGCAGGAACTGTGCTGACTGCAGCAGGAGGGTGGGTGCCCCGCAGCACGACTCTCAAGGGCATCAGGTTTTGCTCCCGTTCTTCTGTGGTCCGGAAGGGTGAAGGGAGCCGGCGCCCCTGCAAGCGAACAGCCGCTTCCTCCCAGGAGGAGACTCCTCAGGGTTCGACCTATAGACCGCAGGCCGCTCATAGCTGGTAAGTTGCCGAGTGTTTGTACAAAGAATTAGGCTGAATCTGTTGAGGTAATGCATCTAGAAGCGTTTCTGTGTAAAATCAACCATTTAAAACGCTACATTTCTAAAGCCTTTTTCGTTTCCTGCCATCCAGGTGTGCCTGTCATTCAATCCTCAGAGCACGTTGGTGGCTACGGGAAGTATGGATACCACGTCCAAACTGTGGGACATTCAGAATGGAGAGGAAGTATTCACTTTAACCGTATGTGAACGGTGTTAATACCTGCCAGAGTTTTCTGTTTTCATCAGCCCTTCCTCGGGAGGAGCCTGTCGTTTGTTTCTATTTGTATTTGTACTACAAAGTTAGCTCTAAAGCAGACAATGGCTTTCAGACGGGAGTGAGAGAGTGTTCTTCTTGGGTTGCTGCTGTCCTCAAAGTCGTGGCTGGATGTGCTGGGGAAGCCAGACGAAGCCAGTTATTTGGACTCGCTCAGCCTGAAAGCCGTACCTGTTACAGCTGAGAAACCACTGCCTCTCTCTGGCTAAAAGCAAAGTACCTGGAGGCCGAACGGGGAAACCTGGCTGGAAAATTCCCCAACGGGCTGACTCAGCAGCCTTCCGTATCACAAAGTCTGCAATGACGAGAGGCCAGCGGCAGGAGGGGACAGGGCAAAGGGCAAGCCCCAGAGCGCATGCTCCTGGTGTGACCTGCTACCTTCTGCTTCTTTCCACCCCGCCCCAACCACCCAACAGAAACAACGAGGCCTTCTAGGGCCATCAGTGGGAACAACCGGATAGGAAATCCTGTTCGTTTTCTTAGCCTTTCACATGAAAAACGAGTTAACAAAAATAGGATCCTTCTCCTGGGAGACCTGTTTCTAAAAAAATTTAAAAAATCGACTTAAGCCAAAGAGAGAAAACAAACAAAAACACCGTGTTTAACTGGCACCGAGAGTTTTTCTTCTTAGCTCAGAGGGCCTAGCATTGCTGATGTAAGCATTCGTCTTCTCGTCCTGGTTCGCATCACTTCTGCATGTCTTTGCCTCTTGGTGGCTCTTCCTCCGGAACATTCCAAGGGGTCAGCCCTGCTCTGCACACCTGTCTCCTGCCACAGAACACATTTGTTTGTGTGTGCAGAATTTGAATGTTTAGCTACATTTGACTTTTGTTATTTGGAACAAAGCAGAGATTTAATTTGTAAATGACCTTTTGTATTGTTTTAAAAAAGTAATTACGTGAATGTACTAAAATAGTCAGGAAAACTCTGCCGCAGAGAGGGGCTTTTCTCGCGTCTCCGTGCGAGCCCTCGGCCGGACTGTCAGGTGCAGGCAGCCCGAAGGCCGGCCGGCATCTATCAACTGGTTCATGTTAGATTAGCACAGGAATTGCTTTCTTCAAAGTTATTTGTCACAATCTTGTTTTGTTTTTTTTAATCATCACCTATTTTCTTAGCCCATAAAGCTTATAGCCTCTCATTTCCCAAAACACGCCCCTCGCTTTAAAAATCAAACAAATAAGCAGACAGCTTTATTGAGTTAAAATGGACTTGCTCCAAGTGTATGTCCACTTAAGTAAACCTACAAAATTGTGCACTCACCACCAAAATGTAATTTCACAGCATTTCCGTGACCCCAAAAAGACAGCCCGTGGCCGTCGGTACGCGCGCCCGTTCCAGCCCAGCCGACCACTGACCTTCCCTTATGTATATAGCTTCGCCTCTTCTGCGTTTTCTATCAGGCGCTGATATTGTGCGTCTGTAGGAATCACTTTAGCTGAAACTGTGCGTGACAATATCCGCTGTCTTTTAGGGACATTCGGCTGAAATCATCTCCTTGTCCTTTAACACCTTGGGAGACAGAATCATCACGGGGTCTTTTGATCACACAGCTGTGGTGTGGGACACCGAGACTGGAAGGTATTTTTTTATTTGCTTATTTAAAAATTTTAATTTATTGATTTTTTTTTTTTAGAGAGAGAGAGACAAGGACAGGGGGATAGAGAGAGAGCCAAGTGATTGATTTGTTGTTCCAGTTATACATGCATTCATTTGTTGATTCCGGTATGTGCCCTGACTTGGGATTGAACCCACAACCTTGGAGTATCAGGACAACGCTCTAACCAACTGAGCTACCTGGCCATGGCTGGTATTCTAAATTTTTAAGAATTTTTCAACCTGGAGCAGAGGGTTAAGAAGACAAATCTTTGTTATTTATTAGTTTAATATTAAACGTATTAACTAAGTTTTGGAGTCCATAAGAATAAGACACAATTATGTATTTCATTTTTTAACAATATTTTTAGTCCACAAAGAATATGTGATTGCTCAGAATTCTGAACAAAGAATGCTGATTAGTAACATAAAAGGGGAATGTTAACAAGAACCTGGTTATGTAGCTATTATTCATCCCTGTACTGGTAATCAGATTTCAAGGGCTTGTCATTAGGGCACGCATGGATATCAGGAGTAAATAAAATCTCAGCTAATTTCCTAAACTTAATTTAGTTTGAGAACTTCAGTTTCCTTCCTAATTATTTTTGGCTCTAGTTGCTAAGAAGGTAACTAAATTAGCCCATTTGTGTTGTAAGACGCCACTCTTGAACTTGTCTGCGTTTTGATAGAAGGGTTAATTATCGGGTTCCGAGCAGGATGGAGCCTACACGAAACGAGAGACCAGGAAGGAGCCCTGAGGCACGGACAGGCAGTGTCTCAGCTATCAGGGGTTCACTCACCTGGTGTAAGAATATCTCCTGAATTTTACCTTTATTCTTCGCCCGTGTCTTTCTGGAGTGTTATCTTAAGCAATGTTGTCGTCTTTGATTGTTTAAAATGTAGGTATATTTGTCTTGACATGAAATGAATAGTGGACTCTCTCTGAGCTGCAGTAAGGCCATCTTTGTTTTGTCATCAAGGACATTATTTTGTAAAAACTAGAGTTTAGACTCTTCCGCCAGGGCCTGCCGTCATTAGTTGTGCATGTATGCTGACGCAAGGCATCTCTGAATCATCTCCACCTTGCAGGAAGGTGTACACCGTCATCGGGCACTGCGCGGAGATCAGCACTGCCATGTTCAACTGGGACTGCTCCATGGTGTTGACTGGCTCCATGGACAAGACCTGCATGGTGAGCTCAAGAAACGCTTTTGCTTTATTTATTATTAGAAAATTTTTTCTTTATTGATATGAGAGAGAGAGGAAGGGAGAGGAGAGATGGAAACATTGATGAGAGAGAACATCAATTGGCCATCTCCTGCATGCCACCCACTGGGGATTTGGTCACAACATGGGCATGTGCCCTGCCCAGGAATTGAACTGGCGACCTCCTGGTGCATGGGTCAGTGCTGAACCACTGAGCCACACCGGCCAGGCAATAATTGGTAATTTTAAAATTTCAAGTGTTTGATCCCTGAAGTTTAGAGGAACTATGATGTAGGTAAAAAATTTTAATGGATTCAAGTGTATTAAGAGATATTATTTTTAAAAGGCACTTTGTTTTTGTTTAATGTTCTTCTGCTCACTTATTAAACACTGATCAGAGTGAATGAAGCTCAAGAAGTCTCAACAAAGGGTCTCCCTGCCTTTAAGTTTCCATTACTAAGTGCTTGCACTCTGGAATTACTATTTGATTACCTATCAGATGTATTGTAATCTTAATGAACTATCATTTTCTGGCATTATAGCTTAAGATTAAGCTCCTTGTCCTTTAATGACCTTGTTATGAAAAGTGGATACTCCCACTCCAATCAGTGAAGTGGGCACTTTAACATTTTTTTCCCTCATGTAGTGTCAGATTTGCGCTGCCTGTTCTAGGTGGCTGTCTTTGGTCTCTTGTGTCCAAAGTGTACCCTGTTAGCTGATTGGGTGTGGTCTCTTGTCAGAATCACGGTAAAATTAACAGAACATGTGAAAATTATACACATGGTTTTGGCACGGTTATTTAAGGAGCCATAAGAATGCCGTAATCACCACTTTTGGCCTTCATTGCATCTTAGACAAGAAGTCATGATGTTCCTCCTCCTCCTCCTCCTCCTTCTTTTTAAATAATTGCAGTTGTGGGACGCTACAAATGGAAAATGTATAGCGACATTCACAGGCCATGATGATGAAATACTAGACTGCTGTTTTGATTATACTGGAAAGCTTATCGCAACTGCTTCAGCCGATGGTAGGTCATCTGTTCATATGTTTAACTGGTGGAGGGATTATGCTCTGCTTGATGAATATGTGTGATTCTACACTGTAGGTCCTCCTCCTGATGACCAGCTATGATAGAAACTGTAGCTGCCTCATCTCTATGCTGTCCATGTATGTTACTACACCATGCCTGTATCATACTCTCGATAACCACGTGTGATGCTGTACATTACAATGTCTGCATCACCTCCTGGACAACCACATATGATTGTATACTAGATCTTCACTGTCTCCTTGATAACGATATATAATGGCATATTCCAGCCTCTCCCTGATGTTCATGTATTATGCTACACAATGCCAACCTCATCAACTAGACCATAGTCGATGGTTCTACAATAAATCTGCATTATCTCCTTTATGACCAAGTATGCTACTCCACTATGTCTAGCACATCTTTGTGATGAACATACATGCTGCTCTGCTATACATCATGTCCCTAATGACCACTTATGATTCTATACTATGTCTGTGTTTTTGATAACCACAGGCTAGTGCTACACTATGCACCTCTACTTCATGAAGACCACACATGATGCTACAATGCATCTATGTCATTTTCCCTGCTGACCACATATGCTATTATATTATTTTGCTGGTGACTCATTTTTAACTACCCAGTTTTTATTTCATCATTGTCTTTCTTTAAAAATTGTATTTGTGCCCTGGTCAGTTTGGCTCAATGGTCAGAGCATCGGCCCACTGACAGAAGGGTTGTGGGTTTGATTCCCGGTCAAGGGCACGTACGTGGGTTGCAAGTTCGATCCCAGGCCTTGATTGGGGTCAAATGGGAGGCAACCAATTGATGTGTCTTTCTCACATCGATGTTTCTCTCTCTCTCTACCTCATATCCTTCCACTATATCTAAAAATCAATGGATTAACAACAACAACAAAAATATATATTACATTTGCATACTTGTTCTCTTACCAGGACTTTTCAAAGGTAATCTTTTGATCATACATACAAGTCATTTTTATATCCTGGAATTATAAACCCTCTGAATCTGGACAATTTTATTTTTTAAAGTAATGACTTTTTCACTTTCTCACAGATCTTGACTTTTAAAAGTCATCTCTCAACTATAATTAATCTGCCCTTTTCATTTTAAATATCAATCTCATTTATACAAAAAACTCCACTCAATAAATAGATATATGAAATACCTCTTTTGTGCCAGGAATTGTTTTAAGAACAGGGGGAATATCAGTGAACAGAAGAGAGAATCCCTGCCTTGTGGAGGAGACCGAGCGGTGCCGTGCACGGTTCCGTGCGCAATGTTAGCTTATACGGGAAGTTACACTGTGTAGAGTGGTGGGGGCGGGTCAGCACTGGGGGGCGGGTCAGCACTGGGGGGGCGGGTCAGCACTGTGGGGGCGGGCCAGCACTGGGGGGGCAGGTCAGCACTGTGGGGGTGGGTCAGCACTGGGGGAGTGGGTCAGCACTGGGGGGGCGGGTCAGCACTGGGGGGGCGGGTCAGCACTGGGGGGGGCGGGCCAGCACTGGGGGGGCGGGTCAGCACTGTGGGGCGGGAAACAATCAGGGCTGGGGGATGAAGACGTGGAGGCATGGATGACAATGGAGTACAAGTTCAAATCTTCCAGGTTTGTTTTTCCCATGATCTGCTCTTCTCCCTTTCTTGTTTGGTAAGACATTACTTCAAAAAACTCTCTCTCCGCTTTTTTTTTTTTTCTTTTTTCTTTTGGTAGTTTGTAAACCTCTTCTCATTCTGTGCTTCCTGAGAAGAGTTGATGTTTGGACCGATCTTTATTTATCTTTGGTTTTTGTTCCTCATTTTCTTCTTAAAATGGAATCGGCCAATGGAGTGAGTTCCCTGTGAAGGTGGATCTGTGTCCTTGAATTACCTTTCCCTCCTCATTGGAATTGCTCTCAGGGCTACGTTTTTTTTTTTTTTTTCTCTTATTCATATTTCTATCTTTAAAAAATTACATTTTCAGGCTATCTTATTTCTGTGTTCTCTGAAGATTAAAAATGATTCTGTGTTAATTTAGAGTATTGCTCTAAAACACCCCTTTTGTGTTATTAACAAACTCTTAAAATGGGTTGGCCACTTTCCTTAAGGTGTTTGAAATGTCCCACTGAGTAACAAGTTTTATATTTTCAATTATATTAATTCTAAAATGGCAATTAAAAAATAATTTTTCTTTTTTTTAAGTAATTAATTTATTTTTTATTAATTTACTTTTGTTACAGATGTTTCTCCTTTTTTTCCCCATTGACACTCTCTTCCCCATTTCCCCACCCCGTACCCTGCTTGTTGTCCGTGTCCATCTGTTATGCGTACATGCATATAAGTTCTGTGGTTTATCTCTTCTCTCCACCCACCACCCCCTCTTCTGAGGGTTGTCAGTCTGTACCCTACTTCCACATCTCTGGGTCTACCTTATTCTTCAGGCTGTTATGTTCATTATATTTCACAAATAAGTGAGATCATGTGATATTTGTCTTTCTCTGCTTGGCTTGTTTCGCTTAGGATAACACTTTCCAGGTCCCTCCATGGCATCTCAAAGGATAAGAGATCTTTTGTTCTTACAGCTGCATAGTACTCCATTGTGTATATGTACCACAGCTTAAAAAAAATAATTTTTCCATCCTCTTAAGTTGACATTGTCAGGAAGGTAAGTAAAAATTAAGATATTCCTCAGGCGTATGCTTCAGTGTTAGGAACTCTGGCTAAAAGAGGGGGAGCAAACCCTGTGCCCCGCTGACCTTCACTTTCTTGCTGTCGATATCCAGGGAGCGCCCAGCCGGTGTGGCTCAGTGGTTGAGCATTGACCCACACACCAAGAGGCAGCAGTTCAATGCCCGTTCAGGCCACATGCCCAGGTTGTGGATCCAATCACCAATGGGGGGCGTGCAGGAGGCGGCCAGTCGATGTTCTCTCTCTTCGATGATGTTTCTATATCTCTCTCCCTCTCCCTTCCTCACTCTTTAAAATCAATAAAGAAAAAAATGAAAAATAAATAAATAAAAATTAATAAGATAAAAAAGTAAAATAAAAGATTTAAATATAAAGCACGAAATCATGGAAGTACCAGGAAAAAACATAAGTGTATTCATTTTTATCATTGTGGAATGAGAAAATTGGGTTTTTCAGTAGGACAAAAAACCCAGAACATCTGTGATAGTATCAACAATAAAAATTAAAATAAAAAAAAGATAAGGCCCTGGCCGGTTTGGTTCAGCAGATGGAGCGTTGGCCTGCGGACCAGAGAGGCTCGAGTTTGGTTCATCAAGACTTGTTTTCATTCCCTTTTTCCTTATTTTTTTTGGTACCTCCAGTGTCCAGAAGTGCCACTCATTAAACAGATGTAGGGTGGGGGGATGGATGATTGGTTGGATGACAAATGAATGGATAGACACGAAGAAGAAAAAGTGTATGTTTATTTACAATTAAGGAATGGAAGAGTTAAATAAGTATGGAAGAGAAAAACAGCAGTAATGCCATTGTTGTCAGAAAAAAGTTAAAATTTGTCATGCTAGGTGAAGAATACCTTCTTATTATAAATTACAGCATTACACAGAGGTGAAATTCTCAGGAATAGAGTGTTTGAGGTCACTCAATTTCCCCCCCCCCCCCCATTCTGAATTGCTGGTTCTTCACCTTTTCTACCTTGGAACCCATGATCTCTTACAATAAGCTCGGGGCTAGAGAGGCAGTCCTCACACCCCTCACCCACCGTGGGGTCACCTTGCACCTACAGTATCAAGTGTCTGGCTCTCACCACAGAAGACAAACCCAGCGAGAGCTGTATATCCGAACAATAGATGTTTAGATGAGTCAAGGCCTGTGGTTCAAAGTTCTGTATTTCAGATGAATTTACATGTATATCTCTCTATATATCCCCCCTCCTCTCAAAAAGGAACAGCGAGAGTTTTCAGTGCAGCCACCAGAAAATGCATTACTAAATTGGAAGGTCATGAAGGTGAGATTTCAAAGGTGGGTTGCGTTCTCATTTGGAGCAATTTATTTACTGTCAAAAACATAGATAGCATGTTTAGTATAAGCATTGGACCTAAGCTACTCAGATTTGTCCAGTGACCTCATTCTTTCTAGAAATGAGTTACCTATGAAGACATTATTTTTAAATGTGTCCTCAAACTCAGTATAATAAATTATTTCTAACACTTTTCCAAAACGATAAAAGTGTTCTCCTCAGCCATGAGCAAAAGATTTAGTTAGCTGAACATACTTATTAAAGCTATTTAAGAAGCTTACACAGTGCTTTTCCGGGTTCTAGTAGACACACACGTTTACGTTGTGCAAAGAAAACATGCTTTGTAGTAAGTATCGAGTGTTCTGTAAATTGGATGCAATTGAGGAAGTATTTCATGGAAATATTTAACACTCAACGAAGTTTAAAGTGACCTGTTTTGAAACTCCAAGGCTGTAGCTTAGAGTTTTGTATTAACTCCTCCCAAAAGCTTCTTCACAGAACAGGGCCTTCCTGTCAGTGATCTGAGATTTAGAAGTGTCCTCAGACATTTTAGAGAAGGCTGGGACTTGGTGACTGACACCTCCTAGCTCAGCCCAATTCCTTGGTCTCATCCCTGAGGTCAGAGTTGCTCTTTCTTTGTAAAATATCAGCCAGATGGTTTCAAGTCTCTGAAGGTTGCACCTGGACCCTCAAACCACCCCCTGCCATGCTCTTTCCCCTCCTGCACCCACACCCGCTGCTTGCTGGTGCCCATGGCCAGCCCAGCAGGCCTGGTCTCCAAGGAAGTGCGGAGCACATCCCCTTCGTGGGCTGGGAGACCTTAGGGCCTGGCAGGACGTCGGGGGGAGGGGGGGTGGCAAGTGTGGACACGCGAGACAGGCTGGGGAGCGAGTATCTGGCTTGATGGCTATTGATATGTCTGGCATGTCTCCCTGAGCAGTTGCACATCTGCTTTTGTGTGTGTGAATATGACGAGCTCTAAGATTCTATATTATTGCATTTTACACATAAGTGACAATTGCTTCCTGAATTGCCACCCAGTAATGGCATTTCCATGGACTATCAAACTAAGGGTTCATTTTTATTCATTCATTCATTCATTCATTCGCTCATCCATCCATCCATTCATTCATTCATTCATTCATTCATTCAACAAATGCTTCTTTAGAGCTTGCTCTGTGCTAGGCATTGCTCTCGGCACTGGTGACACAGTGATGAAAAAGAGACACGGCTCTGCCCTCACCAAACCCTCGGTCGTGGAGGAGGGGGCACAAGTCATTGTCTTTTGAGGTTTTGGAGAGGGATATAAGCATAGTACCCAAAGGAATGGCAGAGCAACAGTTCTCTTTGCTGCTCAGGCACCATTAGACAATGCCTGGCACGTGGGAGACACGTCTGTGGAAAGTGCTGCACTTTGAGTAGCAACAGACAGAACGCCCTGCCTTGTAGGCCCCGATGCTCACTTCTTCTCTGGCACAGTGTGTGCTTTTGACCACGGAAAGTTGGGTTGCAGAGGCAGCATCGGGGTTTGGGTATAAAGGAGACTGACGTGGGCTCTCATCCACTTTTTTTGTATGGAGAAGGGCATCAGGAGTCTTTGGGAAGAAGTGGGTGTGGACTATTCAAACCGTAAGGGTGCTTTGGTCTTTGTCCTTAGAACTGTGAGGGGTAGGCGAGTCAATGTTTCTGTCTAGGTTTTACTTGGCGTGTATTAGTCCCTGCTCTTTTACCGATCATGAAGGAACTGCTCTGTGTAAGAATAGATACCAGCTGGGAAGGTAACAGGTGCTTAGTAATGTCCCCTTTTACCATTAAAAATATGTTGGGGTTTGTTACACAAAACAACCGTGTTTTTTTCTTTCTCTCTTGTAGATTTCCTTCAACCCCCAAGGGAACCGTCTTCTCACGGGTAGCTCTGACAAAACGGCAAGAATCTGGGATGCCCAGACTGGCCAGTGCCTCCAGGCGCTGGAGGGGCACACTGATGAGATCTTCTCATGCACTTTCAACTACAAAGGCAACATAATCATCACAGGTGGGGAGAAAGAAGTGCCATAGACTTGTGTTTGCTTTTAAATTGGCCAGTAGAGGTCAGGAGCTGAATACCAAAAGTTTACCTCCATCCCCCACCTCTCTTCCAGGGTCCTTGGCTCAACTTGGGGGCGGGTTCCATGTCCATTATTCAATGGAACCGCGGGCATGAGCTCTGCCACCAGCTACGAGGCTCTGATTTTGGATTTCAGTGGCTCGAGGCAAAGTTAGAATTCTGTAGCCTGCCTTGCTGGCTTCCATATTTTCCCAGGCATTATCCACCGAGTGGTTAACATCCCGTTGATGTCAGTTTGGTGTTAGGAGCTAAAACAAGTCAAGACTTGGGTTCTCACAGTCGGATTTTTAGCTCATCAGAGATTTATTCTTTGAGCTAAAGTTTTTCCCTCGATGTCCCCTGCTAACATACAAATATTTGGGGAAGAAAACAGGTATTGAGCATTTTTCAACAATTTATTGTGAGTTAATCATATTGACAACATTCTGTAAGAACTGGATTGAGAATAGATCAATTCAGATTGCAGAAAGGAGAGAAAAAAGGACAAGAATTTGGTACAATGTCAGCGCAGTACCCTGGGAGGAGGCTTGGCAGGGGTGGATGCTACAAGAGTGTGGGGGAGGGACGCCCTAAGAAAGCACAGAAAACCCAGTGTCCAAACTAGCAGTGATTCCACAGCGCGGAGTAAATCTGAACATCGATGAACTGTCTAGGAGGTTCAATGTCGCCTAGGCAAGGCTGGCTCTGGGTATTAGCTGCTTCCTAGTCATAGAACTTCTGGTCTGCTATAAATCATCCCCTTTTGCCCTACACCACCCCCCTCCTTCTATTAATTAGGGGTACGTTCTAAAATTACTGATTACTTTCTTTGGATTTATGATTTTTCAGTGCTACTAAAATGTAGCACTCTTCCCAAGAGAGCACCACTGGAAGTTATGCATTTTATTGTGAACAGCATGTGAAATCCCTTCCCGTGACCAGGAAGGAGGTGGGGGTGGGGGGAGGGGGCTGTGATGACAGGCGCAGGACGCTCTGCGGGGACCTGCTGCCAGGAAGGAAGGAGGAAGCGTGGCCGGGAGGGCCCTCAACCAGTTTTCATAAAGGCCCCGGACAGCTTAGGGAGGGATGTGCATTGTCGGTGCCTTGTTTTAGCGCTGGCACTTAGATTCCTGAGCTCTTTAAAAAGTATTCTTGGAAGATGGCAGCGGGTAGGACCGGAGGGAGGGTGAGTGTGTGAGCGAGTGAGCGAGTGTGGGAGAGAGTGTGAGTGGACGTGCAGGTGGACGACCAAACCCGAGCAGTGCAGAACCGCGGAGCAGAAGGTCCTGTGCTGGGGACGGAGCAACCGGCTACCGCCGTGAGCGGCCCTTCAGGGCGCTTCTCCCTGCCCACGAGGAGGTCCCCCCATTTTGGAAGATCCTGGGTCTTCCCTGGGAGGAGACAGTGGGAGCAGCTAGGGCCCAGCAACCTGAGCCCACCAGCGCACCTGGCACCATGGGACCAGTGGACACTGTGTCAACACAGACCAGTGCACAGTAGTGGAGCTGCCAAGGTGCCGGTTGCGGAAACCACAAATGGCTGGGAGCCCAGCACCATCCCCCACAGTAGCAGCTCGATCAGAGTCATGATACACCCCCAGCAACAGAGGCTGGGGAGCAGACATCCATCCCCAGGCAAAAGAAGCACAGACCAGCAGCAGAGACCCATCCCCAAAATCTACAGCAAAAGCTGAGCAGGCATTGAGCCCCACGGGGCAGCAGCACTCCCCAGCCGCCAGCGGGACCTGGGGCTCCACAGAGGCCTGTGTGACCCAGTGTCCCACAAGACAGTGGGAAGCCAGGGCTGCAGAGGGACTGTGCAATCCAGCTGCCTGTGGGACCTGCGGGGCACTGGGACATCAGAGAGGCCTGTGTGACCCAGCTGCCCACAAGATAGGTGTGGAGCCGGGTCTCCTGGAGGAACTGTGCTATCCAACTCCCCACGAGATCAGTGGGAAGTGGGGGCTCCAATGGGGCCTATACAACCCAGCTGCCCACAAGATCGACAGGGAGCCAGGGCTCTGGTCTGGCCTGTGCAACACAGCTGCCCACTGTACGGGCAAGGAACTCGGCTTCAACAGGGCCTGAACTATACAGCTACAGGTGGCACCAGCAACCAGCTGGGAACACAGCTCCAGAGGGGCCCACGTGATCCAGCAGCAGCACCTACCAGGACACACCAATACCAGCCCCTAGTAGCCAGTCCTCCAGGATCCACAGCAGCAAGAGGCAACACACAACAAAAGAGTCTGGGAGGCACAGTAGCCTTATTTGATATACAGTGAGCTTCCTGCACATCCAAACATCCCTCACCAGGTCTAGAGCTACCAGACGGCTAAAATGGGGAGACAAAGAAACAACACCCAAAGGAAAGAAAAAAGGAATCACCAGAAAAGGAACTACAGGAAATGAGAGAAAGCAACTTGCCAGATAAAGAATTCAAAGCAATGATTTTAAGGGTGCTCAAACAATTTGGTAAGAACTACAAGCAACTTGATAAGAATTATGAAGAGCTCACTGGAAACTACTTCAGCTTTAAAAAAGAGGTAGAAGCTATGCATAAAAATCAAGAGGAAATAAAGAATGACATAACTGTTCTAAAAAACACCTTAGAAGTGTTCAATAATCAATAGTAGATGAAAAGAAGCTGAAGACCAAATCAGCGACTTAGAAGACAAAGTAGAGAAAAACACCCAAATAGAGCAGCAAATGGAAAAAAAAAATTAAAAAGCAAGAGGAAAGTTTAAGGGAGCTGTGGGACAAAACAAAATGTAACAACATTTGCATTATAGGGATACTGGAAGGAGAGGAATCAAAGAAAGGAATAGAGAACCTGTTTGAAAAAATAATGACGGAAAACTTCCCTAAACTGGTGAAGGAAGAAGTCACACAAGTCAAGGAAACACAGAGAGTCCCAAGCAAGATGAACCCCAGAAGACCCACAGCTAGACACATCATAATAAAAATGGCAAACATTAAAGACAAAGAAAGAATCTTAAAAGAAGCAAGAGAGAGACAGAAAGTTACCTACAAGGGAGTTCCCATTAGACTGTCAGCTAATTTCTCAATAGAAACGATGCAGGCCAGAAGGGAGTGGCATGTGTACAAAGTAATGCAAGGTAAGGGTCTGAAACCAAGACTACTCTATCCAGCAAGCCTATCATTCAAAATTGAAGAAATAAAGAACTTCATGGATAAACAAAAACTAAATGAATTTACTAACACCAAACCAGCACTGCAAGAAATGCTGAAGAAGAAGAAGAAACAGAGAGAGAGAGAGAGAGAGAGAGAGAGACACAGGCATAAAATTAAAAATGGCAACTGATAACTATCTACCAATAATTATCTTAACTGTAAATGGCTTAAATGCTCCAATCAGATCAAGGAAGAAATTAAAAACTTCCTGGATACCAATAAAAATGAACATCCACCAACACAAAATCTATGGGACACAGAGACAATAGTCCTGAGAGGGAAGCTCATAGCACTACAGGCCTACTTCAAGAAACAGAAACAAATTCCTAATTGACTATATAACCTTACAACTTAAAGAACTAGAAAGTAAACAAAAAGAAAAACCCAGAGCCCTGGCCGGTTTGGCTCAGCAGTTAGAGCATCCACCTGCGGTCCGGAGAGGCCCGGGTATGGTTCCCGCTAAGGGCATGTACCTCGGTTGCAGTTTGTCCCCGGCCCTGGTTGGTTGTGCGGGTGGCAGCCACTCGATGTGTCCCTTTCACATCGATGTTTCTCTCTCTCTCTCTTCCTCTCTCTCCCTCCCACTCTGTCTGTACAAAAAATGGAAAAAAGAAAAAGAAAAACCCAGAGCTAATAGGAGGAAGGAAATAGTAAAGGTCAGAGCAGAAATAAATCACATAGAGACTAAAAAACAATTCAAAAGGTCAATGAAACAAAAAGCTGGTTCTTTGAAAAGATAAACAAGATTGATGGGCATTTAGCCAGACTCACCAAAAAACAAAAACAGAGAAACCAAATAAACAAAATCAGTAATAAAAGAGGAGAAGTAATAACTGACACCACAGAAATACAAAGGATCATTAAAACATACTATGAACAATTATACATCAACAAATTGGATAATGTAGGAGAAATGGACAAATTTCTAGAAACACACAGCCTCCTAAAACTGAACCAGGAAGAGATAGAAAACTTAAACAGACCAATAACAACAAGGGAAATTGAAGATGTAGTTAAGAAACTCCCAGCAAACAAAAGCCCAGGCCCCGATGGCTTCACAGGTGAGTTTTACCAAGCATTCAAAGAAGATCTAATATCCATTCTCCTCAAACTATTCCAAAAAATCCGAGAAGCTGGAACACTCCCAAACTCATTTCATGAGGCCAGCATAATCTTAATTCCAAAACTGAATAAAGACACTACAAAGAAAACTATAGGCCAATATCCCTGATGAACACAGATGCCAAATCCTTAACAAAATATTAGCAAATTGGATCCAGCAATACATCAAAAAAATTATTCATCATGACCAAGTGGGTTTCATTTCAGGCATGCAAGAATGGTACAGTATTCTCAAATCAATAAATGTGATACACCACATAAACAACAGGAAAGATAAAAACCATATGATCATATAAATAGGTGCTGAAAAAACATTCGACAAAATCCAGCACCCATTTCTGATAAAAACACTCAGAAAGGGGGGAATAGAGGGATCATATTTCAACATAATAAAGGCCATATATGAAAAACCTACTGCCAACATCATACTCAATGGGCAAAAACTTACGGAATTCCCCTTAAGAACAGGAACAAGACCAAGATACCCACTTTCACCACTCTTATTTAACATAGTACTGGAAGTCTCAGCCACAGCAATTAGACATGAAGAAAAAATAAAGGGGATTCAAACTGGAAAGGAGGAAGTGAAACTGTTATTATTTGCAGATGACATGATATTATACATAGAAAACTTTAAAGACTCCATCAAAAATCTACTAGACTTAAACAAATTTGGCAAAGTAGCAGGATACAAAATTAACATCAAGAAATCGATGGCATTCTTTTACACCAATGATGAAATCACAGAAAGAGAAACTGAAAAAAACAATCCCATTTACCATCACAGCAAAAAAATTAAGGTACCTAGGAATAAACTTAACCAAAGAGCTAAAGGACCTCTTCACAGAAAACTATAGGTCATTGAAAAAAGAAATAGAGGAAGGTTTAAAAAAGTGGAAGCATATAACTTGTTCATGGATTGGAAGAATTAACATCATTAAAATGTCCATGCTACCCAAACCAATCTATAGATATAATGCAATCCCCATCAAAATACCAATGACATATTTCACAGAACTAGAACAAACACTCCAAAAGCTCATATGGAACCAAAAAAGACCCAGAATAGCTACAGCAATCTTGAAAAAGAAGAACACAGTAGGAGGGATCACATTACCAGATTTCAGGTTATACTACAAGGCCACTGTAATCAAAACAGCCTGGTACTGGCACAAGAACAGGCAGATAGATCAATGGAACAGAATAGAGAACCCAGAAATTGACCCAAGACAATATGCTCAATTAATATTTGACAAAGGTGGCAAGAGCAGACAGTGAAGTCAAGACAGCTTCTTCAATAAATGGTGTTGGGAAATTGCATAGCTCCTTGCAAGAAAAATGAAGCTAGACCACCAGCTTACACCATACATGAGAATAAACTCAAAATGGATAAAAGATTTAAATGTAACTCGTGAATCCATACAAATTCTAGAAGAAAATGCAGGCAAGAAAATTTCAGACATCATACGCAGCAGAATTTTTACAGATACAATACCTAAGGCAAGAGAAACAAAGAAAAAAATGAACACATGGGACTATAGCAAACTTAAAAGCTTCTGCACAGCAAAATAAAATCATCAAAACAGAAAGGGATCCCACTATATGGGAGAGCATAATCGCCAATGATGCATCAGATAAGGGGTTAATTTCCAAAATATATAGAGTGCTCATACAACTCAACATAAGGAAGACAAAGAACCCAATTAAATAATGAGTAGAGGACCTAAATTGACACCTTTCCAAATAGAACATACAAATGGCCAAGAGACATATGAAAAAATGCTCAACATCACTAATCATCAGAGAAATGCAAATTAAAACAACTATGAGGTATCACCTCACACCTGTCAGAATGGCCGCCATCAACAAATCATCAAACAACAAGTGTTGGTGAGGGTGTGGAGAAAAGGGGACTCTAGTACACTGCTGATGGGAATGCAGACTGGTGCAGCCACTGTGGAAAATAGTATGGTGTTACCTCAAAAAGTTAAAAATTGAACTTCCATTTGATCCAGTGATCCCACTTCTAGGAACATACCCTAAGAAACCTGAAACATCAATCAGAAAGAATATATGTACCTCTATGTTCATAGCAGCACTATTTACAATAGCTAAGATCTGGAAACAACCCAAGTGTCCATCAGTAGATGAGTGGATAAAAAAGCTGTGGTGCATGTACACAATGGAATACTATGCAGCTGTAAGAAAGAAAGATCTCTTATCCTTTGAGATGTCATGGAAGGACCTGGAGAGTATTATGCTACGCGAAACAAGCCAAGCAGAGAAAGACAAGTATCATATGATCTCACTTAGTTGTGGAATATAATGAACTAAACAAACTGATGAACAAAATTGACTCAGAGACATAGAGGTAGGATACAGACTGACAAGCCTCAGAGGAGGGGGGTTTGTGGGGGAAGAGATAAACCACAGAGCTTATATGCATGTATGTATGACCAATGGACATAGACAACAAAGCTGGGGGTGGGGTCGGGGGATGGGGAGGAGGGTGTCAATGGGGGAAAAAAGAGAAACATCTGTAACAAAAACAAATTAATAAAAAATTAAAAATTCTTAATTCATTTAGTGTATCCCAAAGCACCAAGGTCCACTGGACAACAGAACCTGTTAGAACAGGGGTAACACGTTCGTGTTGCTACAGGAGGGGAATCCCTTTGTTTGAATTGATCCCCCCTATTTTCATGGCGGACCCCAGTGCCCACCATGCATTTTTCAGTGGACCGCCAGAGGTCAGGTTTAGAATGTCGCACTGGAAGAGACCTGGCCAGTGTGCTCGGGAACATCTTTAAAGACAGGAGGCGCCACGGGCGGAATGTGCAGTGTTCACAGGCTTCCCAGTCCACGCAGCCCGCACGGCCCGCACTGATGCTCTGCGCTGGCCTCGGAGAAGCCACACCGGGCCTGGCGTCTCCTTTGCGGAATGTGGAAGGTGGCCCTGGGGAGGACTTCGAGACTGCTTGGGAAGGGTGTCAGTTGTAAGTGAGGAGTGTAGGAAGGATGCAAATTGTACATTTTGACTGACGCTGAGAAACATCTCTGGACATTTTGCTATGCGTTAAAGAGGAATGGACTGTCTTGTACGCTAACACCCTAACCTGGAGATGTTCAAGTTCACTGTATTTCTTCTTGGTGGCATGCTGGGGGGGGGGGGTGGGGTGCGGCTGACGGGTTGCAGTCTCGGGTCCTCTCCCATTTTAACATAACGTGTGTCTTGCTGGTTTGGGCAGGATGTAGCTTTCACAATTTTGGACTGCCAGAATAGTGCAAAAATGAGAAAGAATAAAAGATTCTCAGTCCAGAAATACCTGAGCTGAGTCTCAGGGGCTGGCCAGCGGGACCCCGGGAAACGAGCACATTCAGCACTGGTGGTAATCGACGGGGACCCAGAAAACGCCAACTTGTAGAAAGAGACAGTGGCGTAACTGCACGCATTCTGTCTTCACAGGCAGCAAGGACAACACCTGTAGGATATGGCACTGACTGAGGAAAGCAGTCGACGACCACCCTTGCTGGGGCTGGGAACAAACACCGGAGGCAGGCAGGCCGTCTCGTGCTTCGTGTTTCTCTCTTCCCACAAGTCAACTCTTCATACACCGTCCTTCGCTTCACAGATACGACTATGAAAACGGACGGGCTTCTATCATTTTTTGATATTTGGTGGCGATGACAGAAAACCGCCTATTGTCTGGAAAACGTGGCTGGTTATGTCAGTTTTGTTCTCTCTTTCTCTTAACAGCCTCATGACACTGATCAGTGAAACCGCAGCAATTTCACGACGTGTCTCCTAGATTCTGCTCTGAGGGCTAGTGTTTTAATTTCTGTTGAATAAAAGTCTTTGGAGAAATTCTTTGTGAATTGTATGTAGATATTCATCACGTGTTTTTAGGGGGAAATTTATGTTAAGAATGTGATTAGAAGCTTTATTGTTTAATTAGTTTACCTTTTTTCAGCTAAGAATGAGAAAGGAAACCTTGGAGTAGAAGGTTACTCTTTCTTCTTTTACATTCAAGAATATATATCCACCCCCCAAACAGAAAATGGATCTCTTTAATAGCAGACATATTCTGCTATTATAATGGGCTGAAAAAGCGTAGGCAGGTCTATTTATAAGGAAAAGTTAAACTAGAGAGACACTGAGACTCCTGAATTATAAATCTCGGTGGAAACCACCTAAAGTACCAGATTAAAGAATGAAACACCGACCGGTTGCAGCTGAAACAGTAAAACATGTTTTATAAAGGCTGTTACGTGTGAAAGTGCTACTACACATGGTACAAACCAATGTGAAAAGAAAACACACAAGATAAAACCAGCGATACCTGAATCCAGACAAAGAGAACCTTACAGAATTATTTTCTTGGTGATAGAATAGCAGCCACTGTGCTCACTGGGCCTCAGACATTGCCCAGCCCTTCACGTCGACGATCTCGCTTCATCTTCTTAGCAGGTGGCAGCTCGTCATCTGACTTCCACGTGAGGAAGGAGAGACTCTGAGGCTGAGGGTTTTAGGAAAGACATTCAGACAGCAGGCGGTGAGCCGCACCCAGGGATCGAAGGCCGTCGCACTGCGTCAGGTGAGCGAGGCTCACTCGTGGGAGAACAGCGTCAGTCCACGGCAGGGAGGTCTGGGATGAGGGTCATCTTTCAGACCCCCCGTGGATGTCTCACCCGCAAGAAGGAAAAATTAAACCCAAGCAGCACAGAGCAAACAACGTGCCCGTGCGGCTGAAGCCAGGGAGAGCTTGGGTTCGAGGAAACAAGACCGAAATGCTCTGCTGCTTTGAAAACTCTAAAGCAGCCGCAGACACTGACTCCCCTCTGAGTCCTTGGTGACTCAGGGAGAGTGGGGTTCCACTTTGTCTGTCACTCCAAGCAGTCTGCAGGGGGCGAATCCGGGGATCATCCTGCGTCTTACAGGCCCAACTGGGTGGAGGAAGCCTTGGCCGGGAAATGGCTCCCTCCTCTAATTTTTCTGCACTAATGCATTGTTCTCTTTATACAATACCGGCGAAGCTTTCCAGCTGTCCTAACCTACTTGAAAATAAGTGTTTCAACACTCACGATGGTAAGAAAAGCTGTAAGACACTATTTCGTGTTGGTTCTCGGCCCAAGGCGGCGATGCTGTTGTAGGAGGCACTCACCTGGGCAGGTACAGCTTGTGGGGGCCCCACTGTCCTTTCCTCGCCCGGAGCGATGTCAGGGCTAGACGGGACCCTGTGCTTCTTAGGACTGCAAAGCACCTCCACAGCGACCATCTAGACGGGCCCCTGTGCTTCTTAGGACTGCAAGTGCACCTCCGCAGCGACCATCTAGACGGGCCCCTGTGCTTCTTAGGACTGCAAAGCACCTCCGCAGCGACCATCTAGACGGGCCCCTGTGCTTCTTAGGACTGCAAAGCACCTCAGCAGCGACCATCTAGACGGGCCCCTGTGCTTCTTAGGACCGCAAAGCACCTCAGCAGCGACCATCTAGACGGGCCCCTGTGCTTCTTAGGACTGCAAAGCACCTCCGTAGCGACCATCTAGACGGGCCCCTGTGCTTCTTAGGACTGCAAAGCACCTCAGCAGCGACCATCTAGACGGGCCCCTGTGCTTCTTAGGACTGCAAAGCACCTCAGCAGCGACCATCTAGACTGACCCCTGTGCTTCTTAGGACTGCAAGTGCACCTCAGCAGCGACCATCTAGACGGGCCCCTGTGCTTCTTAGGACTGCAAAGCACCTCAGCAGCGACCATCGGGGAGAGGCGGCGCTGTGTGGACCGGGCCTCTGCCTTTGCTCGGGTCAAGGCTGGGGTGCCTCCGGTTTCAGGGGTTCACTCTGTATTGGTGAATTCATCGCATAAGAGCGGATTGGGACATGGGAAAGCAAAAGGGGGGTTACCCAAGCAGTCAGTTATCTAGGTGGTCCCCAAAGGGAAACCTCACGGGTGACAGAGGCCTGGCTCCTTGCCGAGCTGTTTAGCCGGCAGCTGGCTCACTCAGGTGGCGACGTGCGTTCCAGGTGGATGTCTCCGAGGAGATGCCTCAGCCATCAAAGCTCAACGTCACGCATGTGCACGCGAATACCCGCTCGCTTTTCCTCGGAAGTCGTGTAGGGTTCAATGAAGTGTGTGTGGGTCTGCAGTCAGATGGCCCTGGTGTAGGTTCTGTTTCCAAACTCTCAGCTGTTGGCAAGTTACCTCGCCACTCGCCCCAGTTCTCTTATCTGGAAGGGGGTAATAACAGTTGCTGTTGGCAGGGATACCTGCCACATAACAAGCGTGGTGATAAATGCTTTAATCTTATGCTCAATGGTTAACATACGTCTTTAAAAGAGTGTGTTTCATATGTAGACAAAATTTTCAAGAAAGAACACAGTGTTATTTACTCATAAATCAGAGTTGAAATATATTTCATGTATTATAGGCATCTCAGGGAAAACTGTAAATGGAATTTTTATCAATTAAATTAAAATTTAAGAGCCCTGGGAATTTTTTTCTTTTAAAGGTTCTCTGTTGAAAGAGAAGCTGAGATGGGAGGAGATGACGACTATTATGGTTCCGTCCATTTCCACACATTTAGATTTCATATAAGATTTTATGAAAGAGGATCCTCATAAAAATGAAATCTCTTTTCTAACAACTCATATCTAAGACTGCAGTAGCTCGTGTCTAAGCACAATGCCCGATTTAAAGACAAAATACATGCTTTTTAAACTGAACAGTGCTTTTCATACCTCTACATCTTACATTGTCATTTAAAAACACATCAAGATCGCCTTGGCCGGTTTTGCTCAGTGGTTAGAGCATCAGCCTGCGGTCCAGAGAGACCTGGGTTCAGTTCCCGCTAAGGGCACGTACCTTGGTTGCAGTTTGTCCCTGGCCCTGGTTGGTCTGCTGGTGTCAACCACTCGATGTGTCCCTTTCATGTCGATGTTTCTCTGTCTCTCTCTCTTCCTCTCTCTCCCTCCTACTCTATCTGAACAAAAAATGGAAAAATGTCCTCGGGTGAGGATAAAAAAAATAAAAATAAAAATAAAAACACATCAACATGAACAAAATAGACCCAGAGGCATAGAAAGGAGTATGGTTCAGACTGACAAACATCATGGGAAGGGGGTGAGGGGGAAGGGGAGATAAATCAAAGAACTTATATATATGTATACATAACCAATGGACATAGACACCAATGCTTGAGGATGGGTAAGGAGGAGGGTGTCTAGAGGGGAAAAAGGAGAAACATCTGTAACAAAAATAAATTAGTTAAAAAAAAAAGAGTTATAGGAAATATCATACTTAAAAAAAACACATTAACAATCTAATTAAAATTATAACTGAATTACCTTGTATTTTTCCCATTGCTGCTGTTACTCTTAAAATAATTTACCTTTTTGGATCTCCAAAGGGATGATATTTGAAGTAAAAACAAAAAGCAATTACGATAGTTAAATAAAGAGATATTTCTTCTTGAACACAAGGAATTGTCAATGGACTCAAAATATCCTCAATCATTTTAGTTACCTTATCAAGATTATTGTATGTTTTGTTTAATTCGACGTCACTAATATCTTGGTTCATATGGTTTGGGCTGCAAGTAACAAAATCCATACTTAGAGCAAGGTCAGTCCCAGTCAGTCATTCTGTGGCCAGAGGCTCAAGAACCTGGAGTTTGGGGGCTTCCTCTTTGCTCCCCTGGTTAGCATCTGTTCTGTGTACCCTTCCCAGCAGCAGGAGGTCAACACAGTTTTCTCAGCTTCAGCTTCTTGCCATCTCCTTTAATCTCTTCAAGTCCAGCAGGGAACTTCTTTCTACTCCTCCTATTTCTATTTGCCCCATCATTTTAGCAGTTCTGGTCCCCCCTTTATATTCTCTGTCTACCCACCCAGTCATAAAACATCTTCTTTAATTAAAAAACAAATTTTAGCCCTGGTCGGTTTGGCTCAGCAGTTAGAATGTTGGCCTGAGGACCAGAGAAGCTGCAGTTCGGTTCCCGCTGAGGGCACGTACCTCAGTTTCAGTTTGTCTCCAGTCCCGGGTGGGGTGGTGTGGGCGGCAACCAGTTGATGTCTCTCTCACATCCATGTTTCTCTCTCTCTCTTCCTCCTTCTCTCCCTTCCGCTCTATCTGAAGATAAATGCAAAAATGTCCTCGGGTGAGGATGAAATAAAAAATAAAAACAAAAAATAAATTTTAGCTAGGTAGTCTTATTGCCATTTTAATCTATAATTTCATCACTTCCTTTCTGCACAAAATACCCAAACAATCCTCAAGTTATTTACGTTGGCTTTTTTGTCCTATCAGATTATTTCTTTCTAAAATATAAAGAAAAATATCTCCACATATTTATAAGACTTGTGTAAATTAGTACCTTTAGTAAGAGGAATGAAGTAGAAATTATTAGAACCCTATGCTAGAACTGATAAAACAAGCTTGGGGTGGCTTGCCTGACATCATTTGGCCAGTAGGTGGCCCTGCATGAACTCGAACCTAGAATGTCTGTGTC